GTTCGAATCCTCGGTAAAGCTAGGAAATTTTTTTCTGTCAGGGGCAAAATAAAAGCCTAACCTGCACAGTCATGGCGACAGCACTAGCTTCTTTTTCTTCTTCAGCCTTTTTATCCCCCACTGGAGCATAGGCCTTCAACCAGCTCACGCCAAGTCGTTCTATCCTTCGCCATTGCATGGAGCTCTCCCCATGTCCTCCTCATCTTTCTAACTTCATTCCCCAGCTCTCTACTCCATGTGTTTTTTTTTTTGGCCTTCCTTTATTCCTATGCCCCTGTGGGTTCCAATGCAAAGACATTCTAGTTATGCTGTTCTCCTGTTTTCTCGGTGTGTGTCCTATCCAACGCCAGCGTCTTTTCTTCAACTCTTGGTCCACCAGAGCCTGTTTAGTTCTCTCACAAAGCTCTATATTAGTTATTCTATCATACCATTTAATTCCTTCTGTTCTGCGAAGGCACCAGTTAATGAATGTTTGTAGTTTATTAATAATTGCCTTAGTTGCCATGTTTCCTCCCCATACAAAAGTACTGATTTGACATAAGAATTAGAACTTTTGTACTTCTTTTAATTTGTTTTGACCTCCACAAATACCCTAGTGCTATGAAAGCTCCTGTTGCCTTTTGTATTCTTATTTTAACATCTATCTCAGTTCCTCCAACTTTATATACATTACTGCCCAAATAGGTGTGCGACTCCACGTCTTCGAGTGGGGTGCTTTTAAGGGAAACCACATTACTATTTGCCTGATTTATTCTCATTATCTTTGACAGCACTAGCTATGCGGCCGTCAATCCTCAGGCTTAAAGACCCCCCTCCCCGCTTACACCACAAAAATATCATTAAAAAGGCAGTAATTGGCAGTTTACAGCCGCTGAACGCGAAGAAGAAGAAAGGGGGGAAACTAAGCTTACCTTAAGTCACAAGTTAACGAAGTGCCTTGTCTCGTTCACAGCAGATTGAGCATTGACTGACCCAGAGGAAACCCTTTCTGTGTCTGGCGTCATCAAGATTGGTGTAGCGATTAGCAGCTGTTCTTGCGTTCACAGACCTTTCTTATCACAAACATACACTAAACCAACACCCGCCCCCCCCCTCCCCCCACCAGCCCCATTTTTTTTAATTTTAAAAATCAAATTTTCATTTAGAAAAAATTTAATGCAAGTAATGCATACACTTATGTTATCAGTAGGTTTAGGTTTAGACGACATATCAACATCATGGCAAAAGGTTAGTAACCCATAAGTGCTCCGTTCTACGTCTGAATCAGTTTTTAAAAGGAGCAACAAATTATAGGTAAGAAAACAAGTTGGTAAAAAAACAACAAACAGTTTATGTTAGCTTTACAAAATCGATCACAATAAACAAACAAAGAACGTTGCGGCGATTAGCCTTCATCAGCACATAAAGAACAATACAGTACACATACACAAATATGCTCTAACTATGAAGTGACTACATGGGACTAATGGACACAATAAATGATACTCATCTGTGTTCCTGGCGAAAAACTTCCTTCAAAAGGATGTCAAGGACAGGTACTGGCGAATTTATCACCAACGCACGGACGGGGAGCAAAGAACGACTACACTATAACTAGGAAATGGACGGAGTAGACGCCCAATCAAGCCTAAATCCGAAGAATCTCAGCGCAGTGTACGAACACCATGGCATCGGCGAGGAACCTGAAATACTTTAGGTAGATTTTTTACTCTAAATTTTGCATGGGCAGCGTTAGGCTGCTCTTTTTCTTTTAAACGCAATCATTAAACATAAAGAAGAAGAAAAACAAGAGCAAGACTGAAATTGTTTAACTTGATTGTTATTTGAATATTTTCTCAAATACTAATAATCTTTGAACTTGAATTTTTTTCGATTAAGAATCGACAACACAGCACTCAGGACACTCCCATAAGTGCTCGGTACCCATCCCAGAGTTCCAATTCTGATGGTACAAGTAACCAGCTGATTCTATATCCGCCTCATCCTTCCCCTGTGTGTTGAGCTTCGGCCAGATCCCCTGGTAACTCCTCGCAGCGCCATTCTCCTTAGATCTATCTGCGCCTCCGCACTGTTTACTCGTTCCCAATGGTCCTCACAATATCTAACTTGTCATACATCAATTTCCCCGTGTGGGTTCCGGGGCACTAATATGGGGGGGGGGGGAGAATAGACCCACTGCCTACCCATGTCGTAAGAATCGACTAATTGGTAGCTTCCTTCGAAGTCGAAGACGCAAGGAACCAGCAGTCTGCATACAAATGAGTCAGATCTGTAAAACGGATGCACACGTAACACTCAGGTTCTGGAACAGGACTGAAGTCCAAAAGTAGATGAATAACTACAACTTTCCGCCAGAGTTTACAGCTGGTGAACGCGAAGAAGAAGAAGAAATATATCAATTCATCAACAAGTGGTGCAGAGGCAGCCAGTCCATCTTCCTGTTCATTTCCCAACACACTGTTGACCTGAACTGCTACAGACAAACTCTCAGAATACCATGGACCAAAAAATAAGAAAAGCGCCTACATCCTGCGTGACCTGAAGGAGAACTGGCTCATCAGTAGCATGCTCTCTCTGGAAAGCGTCATTATGGTCTGGCGAGAACGGCGATGGAGGGTGTAGTTTCCGGAAGACGAGGCAGAGGCCGACCTCCACAAACGTGGGTACAGGACATTGAAGATGCGTTGGCTATGCATGCAAACAGGGATGGAGATGAGCTATAGCAGCGGTTCTCAACCTGTGGGTCGTGGCCCTTTTTGGGTCAAACGACCTTTCCCAAGGGTCGCCTAAGACCATCGGAAAACACATATTCATTGAAGTTACGAAGGAAAATGTTTAGGGGGCGCCACAACGTGAGGGAATTGATTTAAAAGGTCGCGGCGTTAGGAAGGTTGAGAACAACTGGGCTAAAGAAAGAGAGGCTTTCGTGTGTGCCGTCAAAGGATATGCTGATTGATTGATGGAAAAATCATGAACATTAAAAATACCGACATTCTGCGACGTCATAAAATTTCAGAAACTGGGTCATAAATGACATCGTGTCTGGGAAACGGAAATACTTCTGTTGCATGGTAGAAAACATTACTCTCCAATCCCTTATTTAGAAACAAAGAGAGGAGTAGACTTGGCCATAGAACTTAAGCGCCCAAATCTAAATAGCTGCGCGTCCAACCTACCCCAATAAAATTGCTTCTTCTTCTTATTGTTCACCGGCTGTAAACTCCGACGAAAGGTTCTGGCTGTTCGTCCATTAATGGAATCTAGTCTTGTTCCAGAACATCAGTTATACATGCATCATTTTGACAGAGCTGTCTTATTTGTATGCAGACTGCTGGTTCTTCGCCTCTCAGGAAGATACACTTCGACTTCGAAAGAAACTCCCCTAATTAGTCGCCTTGTACGGCAAGCTGCTTAGGGATGCAGTGTCCCCTCCCATCCCAGAATGGGACCCTGGAAATCACACGGGAAGCATACGATTTGAAGAGGAGCTATCCACCCCCCCCCCCTTTTTCACAAAGACATTTGTTAAAACACGTATTTGTTTGATCGTTTCAAACATGTTATATTTTTTTTACATTTAGTCCATAATGCAGCCCGCCCCCAAACGCTTGGGTGAAAAAATTGTTATCAAAACTCATTAGGAACATGAGTAGGTCTGCCAAACGTACAGCCAAAATTACAACCCTTGGTTAAATGACTGCGGAATAAAGAGAACATTGTTCACTGCACATCCTCTGTTAACCCTCAGTGTCGTCGTCACCGCGCTGGGGTACACCACAACAGAAACCATCCATAGGTTGGCCATTCATGTACATCCTCGGTTAACCCTCAGTGTCGTCGTCACCGCGCTGGGGTACACCACAACAGCAACCATCCATAGGCTGGCCATTCATGTACATCCTTGGTTAACCCTCAGTGTCGTCGTCACCGCGCTGGGGTACACCACAACAGCAACCATCCATAGGCTGGCCATTCATGACCTTGGTAAACCCTCATCATTATCATCATCATCATTGCCATCATCATAATCCTTGACATTTCCGTTTACATTTGACTAGCCGCATTTTTGTATGTGACAGCACTTATTTGAGAAAGTAAATCTTGTCCTTAAAGTCCATACCATGAGGGGTTGGTATTCATTTCTTATCCACAACATTCTGTCTTATGTACTTACAATCAGTTCTTCAACAGATAATCTTCCATGTTGTGATTGCAAACTGCCCTGCATCTTCCCTCTGTCTTCTTCTGCACTTCCCCCCTTCAACTTCCCCACTTTCGTGATATACGCCAATTTTCTCCTTCTCCGTGACATCACCAAAGAATCTAGTCTGTCTCTTCTTGATGTGGGCAATCAGTTTTTTTCGTGGCTTAGTCAGTTTTTTTCCCAAGACATCTTTATAACTCTTTTGATTTGTCAAAGGTGTTCTGGATATTCGTCTACAAAACCACATCTCCGCTTTGTAAGTGTATATGTAACAATCAAACACAGGTGAATATGTGTGTATCGCCGCCTTCTCTAGAAATCGGCCGTGGTGTGTGAACTATGAAAAAAAAACCACAAGATGTGCAAATTCTCGGTATTAGAGAAAACTGTGCACGAATGCGTGGCTGAATTATTGATATGAGTGAAAACGATGCAGGAAAATGTGTGTGAATTATTGGTGTGGGAGAAAATGTCGTGTGTAAATGAATGTACAGTGTACCCAGGTAGCTACAACTGTAGACTGATGTGCGTCTACCTGTTCTGCTAGAAACCTGCACGGTTGCCTTGCCTGTCTCCCCCATACACGGCCGCCCATTGGATGATACCATCACCAGCCACCAATCAGCGAGCGAGTTGCCAGTCAGCCCGGTCCAGAAACATGTCGCTCTGCCCGGGGATCTAGGTGACGGGCCCCGACAACTCTCACACATCATCATCAACAATAACAACAGCCGCCGCCTCCTCCTCCACAACTACAGTCTCCTGCTGTAACCGCTACCTGGAGCCGCTTGCAAACATGGCGTCAGATAATAATAACAACAACGATTTCGAAATAACTCCGGAGGAGGAGAAGTCTCTGCACGAATTGTTCCTGAAACTAGACATGAATAAAGATGGGAAGATAGATATGAATGATTTAACTAAGGCGATGGAGACGATGCAGCTGCCTCAGGTTCCTGGACACGCCAAGGTAAGTTTCATAGTTTAGTTGCATGTTGCGAAGTCCGATCCTGTCTGTATATTCTCTGTATGTAACCACGACCATACTTTACGGAGATCAAGCTGATATAAGCAAAAAAAAAACCTGTTCCTGATTCAACCCCGCCCATCGCACTGGTTGATATAAAATTGTAAGTTGATTTATCAGTTGAGCTGATGTCTATTAGCTAAAGATTTCGCTTATACAGCACATAACTTAAAGTTGCGTGTAGCTGGTAAACTTTAGTCCCAACAGAACTTGGTAAAGTTGTTAGAGGGAAGAGATACTGGTACGCTGACTCATTGACTCCAGGAAGTAGATGTTAAAGTATAAAGTACATCTGAAACCGCAGCGTTATTTGAAAAGTACAAAGCAGTATATTTTATCAATCATGAAAACAATAAAGCTTGCTTTTCGGTTCTAAAAGCTTGCCGTGTTCTAATGTTATGTGCAGCCAGCTGTAAACTATTCAGCCAGGTAAATATACGGGGCCCGATCCACCAGTGACCTAGTTTCCGTGCAGTTCAAACCAGGTCAGTGCATAAAGGCAATCCCATGCATGGATTGACACAGGAGCGGAAAATATGGCTTTACCTATGTTAGGCTATATAGTTATGCAGCGAAGATAAGCTTTCTTAAGAAGGGAGGCGGGTTGGGCGTGGACCCAGCTCTGTTATAGTTATTTTTCTACAGAAACAGTAGATAAGCAAACAAATGGTGTGTGGTGCACAGTGCATGTATCACAGTTATGGATGAAAGCTGCTCTGTGAAGTCGGTGGCTAAGACATGCACACTACATGGCTCATAAATGGGCACTAGAATAGGTTTTGCTGGTAACAGCAGTTGTAAGACGAAGAAGATGGTTCTATATTGGGCACATCCTGAGAATGTTGAATTAAGAATCAACGTCGTAGCACTGGGGACACTCCCATAAGTGCTCAGTCCCCATTTTCAGCATCCTGATAGTATATCTGTCTCATCCTTCCCCTGTGTGTTGAGCGTAAGTGCTCGGTCCCCATTTTCAGCAGCAAGTGAAGAGTTTCAGTTCTGATCGTACCAGTTACCGCCCAATTGATATCCGTGTCATCCTTCCCCTGAGCGTTGAGCATAAGTGCTCAGTCCCCATCTTCAGCAGCAAGCAAAGAATTCCAATTCTGATGGTACCAGTAGCTGTCTGATTGTATATCCATCTCATCCTTTCATCGTGAGAAAAAAAACAGGCAGAAAATTACCAGCCAATAGAAATATCGGGACTGAGGAAACAAAGACGTCTAAAAGAAACCTTAAAATGAATGTTGATGATAGAGGCCGAAGGTGCTGGCCTGGAATCCATCGATGATGTTAAAGAGATTGCACAGGATACAACTGAATGGAGGAATAGACGGTGAGCCCTATGTGACATGTAATGGCTAGAAAGGTTTAGACAATGGATCAACATAAGTGGCACAAGTGGTAACCAATAAGTCCTTTGTTCTATTTCTGACTCAAGCCTGAGACCAAAGAATCTCATCGCAGTGCATGGGGGGGGGGGGGGGGGTGTAGAGGTTTTGGAAGTGGTTCAGCATTGAAGAGGAAACAGAGGTGGACTTTTAATTAGGTTGTAACTGGTACTATTAGCATGTCAAATCTTCGTTGGTTACTAAAGAAGGGGAGGGAGCATGTATGATACTGTCCCGAGTGTTGTAATGTTAGTTCTTGATTCATTTTTCCATCCAATCGGTTAATTAAACAATCCATCTTACTATAGATTCTAAAGAATTTGTTTGGGAGTTGAATTAATGTACGTGAAAAATTAAAAAAGGGTTGGTTGTTACTTTTTATTCTTTATTCTTTTTTCTCCAAACTGCAGCATTTCTTTGAGAAATATGACAAGGACAATGATGGGCAGATCAACTTCACTGAGTTTGTCAAGTATGTGAAGGAACATGAAAGGGACCTGATGTCCTACTTCAAGAAGATTGACACAAACTCTGATGGTATGTTTGTGACCTGATCATGTACGTGTGGGTGTGGACAGAGCAGGTTTATACCACTGACAAACATTTTGATGTTATGATGTAGACCAGCACATCTGCCGTAATCTGTATTGTCACTAATAAGTGTGTGGATCTCGGCATTGACAGCAACAGGATTATGTTCCCGACAACTTCTACCAACATAGGAGAAGGCGCAGTTGAGGCACAGGTATCCATTCTTTATCAGGGTGGATATCTTTGAGACTGCAGACCTGCTTGATTGCATCTTCTGCTCTACCCCACCATGTTTTGCCCTCTTTTAGTCGTTTGCCCACTGCAGGCTTAACTGCCACATGCATAAAATAAAGATTCTACAGTCCCCACAGTGTGCCTGTCAAACACGACAACAAACACCTAATAAGTACATTCTGCAAGCCTGCCCACTCTACCTACAACTTCAGAAAGACATCTGGCTTCAAGAGAAAAGTGTGCAGAGCAAGTTATGGGGAACCATGAAGGACCTGCTGCTGACATGCAAGTTAATGGAGGCAACCCATCTGATGGTCTTATCTGAGCATTTGAAACTGAAGACAAAGAAGAAGAAATAGAAGAAGCCTCTTGCCTTTTTTGAAGATTGATTAAAAAGATATAAATCTGGACAAATAGGTATCAGGTAATGCCGTAAGAAGTAATGGCAGCACCCATGATGCTGACTATGTCACCCAATGAGTGTTATGTCATCTAATGGGTATTACATCACCAATGGGTGTTAGGTCACCCTTTGGGTGTTACGTCATCCATTGGGTACCAATTGATTCTTTAAAATATGAGTTTAACATCATTTGCCCGAGGCACCACTCATCTACAAAGGGTCCCTTATTGTAATTGAAATTCAGACAGTATGTTTGTTAGGTAATTATTTGATTGTGGGTATCGAGAGATTCATGAATTGAACACTTGTGGGTTGGGAACCTTGCTCTATTCATCGTCATCATTATCCCGTAAGACTGTTTCATTGGGTCACCAGTTCTCTCCAACATAGGCGGTCAGTTGCGATGAACTTCATGGTTGCATGCCTGAGGCCTGTCTAGTCAGTCAGGTTCAGTAACTAGGTCTTTCTTGGTCTGCCTCTTCTCCTCTTTTCCTTTACTGAGCCCTGCCGTATTGTTTTTGAGAGGCCGTTAGATCTTATTACATGTCTATACACTTGCATTTTTAGAATTTTTACTGTAGTTAAAAAGAGATTCACAGTTGTTCTATTAGTTTTTTAATATCATACCTATTTGTTGTTGTTATGTTAATCCTGTAAATTTGTTAGTGCCTTAACTGTTTGTAAATTCATCATCATCATTAAGTGCCTTGTCCACTGGCCTAGGTAATCATGCCTCTCCATAATCTGTGATCGTCAGCAGTGGGGATCAGTTAGTGTGTTGACACCCGCCAGTACCATGACAAAAGCCCGTCAAAATCTTCTTGTCTTGTGTGGTCATCCCCTTGCTTGTCTCTTTTTCCACAGATCTTTCTAGTAGTTACAACATGTTCTAGTTTCCATCTTCTCATAAATTCATTACCGTAAATGAAAGATCTCTTGCCAAGCTACTTACTTACTTAGTCGCTCCTTTTTTATCTTGGGGTGTAGAGGTTTGCCAGAGAGATTGCCAGACGTCTCTGTCTTCCTGGCTTTGTTCCATTCCAGTCCTCTGTCAGTCAGGGACTGTCAGATGTTGTCTTCCCAGCGCACCCTGGGTCCCCCTGGAGGTCTGGTTCCCTGGTTCTTAGCCTCCCATGCCTGCTATGGTGGCCAATATTCTCCCATTCTGCATACATGTCCAAACCATCGTAACTGTGACTGATCCACTCAGGTTTGTAAGGATTGGGTATCAAAATCTTGACTTATTGTCTGATTGCAGACTTACTTCTCTCACCAAGTGACATATAATCAGTATAATGCTGGACTCATCATTGTTCAGCCAGTCAGCATGGAATTGCTGATGTGGCCAGGACCAAGACAGTGTCTTCCCATGGTACCTGTTAATTTTGTTTGTTAGCAAGATACTTAATTTAACTAAGCTCTTGATTTGTTGGGGAAATAAGGCAGCTTTGTCGGACTCCTACTGTTTTTGGAACCAGCTCCCTATTCATTTAAGATATTTAGGATCCATTTTTGTATTGAGTAACTAGGGTCTGCCATGACAGATTGGAAAAAATTATAGCAGAAGGCATGGTACCAGGAAGGAGGGGCAGGAGCCGACCGACACGAAAATGGGCACAGGATATAAGTGACTCCTTGAGTGTGAAAGTGCATGAGGCGAGAGAACTGGCGAGAGATCAAGTTTCTTTCAGGCAGACTGTGATGAGAGCGACATTCTGCCAAGGACCTGCTACATGATGATAAACTAGGGTTTGGACCAGAGATCGTGTCTAGGATTGCACAGACTTTAGTCCTTCCCAAACAGCAAATATGGAAATCCAAGAATATTTTATTTAAAACTAAACTACAACTGCCAGAGCAGCACTAGCCGTTAGTACGTTTACACATATCCTGTGAACCGGGGACCTTAACAACTGAACTCAGAAAGAAGATACAAGTATCAGAAATAAGATCTTACACATGTCCTGTGAACCGGGGACCTTAACAACTGAACTCAGAAAGAAGATACAAGTATCAGAAATAAGATCTTACACATATCCTGTGAACCGGGGACCTTAACAACTGAACTCAGAAAGAAGATACAAGTATCAGAAATAAGATCTTACACATATCCTGTGAACCGGGGACCTTAACAACTGAACTCAGAAAGAAGATACAAGTATCAGAAATAAGATCTTACACATATCCTGTGAACCGGGGACCTTAACAACTGAACTCAGAAAGAAGATACAAGTATCAGAAATAAGATCTTTCAGAAAAATTCTCGGCATATCATACAGAGAGCACATCACAAATGATGAGGTTCACCATATAAGTACCCAACACATTGACAACTATGAACCTTAACTACAGGGAAAAGATGAAAAATGCAGTGGTACAGACATATAATAAGATTTAACCTTCTCTACAAAAAAAAATATACTACATAGCTCAGTAGGGAATTCCCACCCAAGAAGGGGCAGACCAATAAAGATCTGGATACAGAACTTGACTGACTGGACAGGCCTTATGCAGGCAACCATGAAGCCCATCGCCTCTGACCTTTTGAGTTGCGAGAGCTGATCAAACAGACAAATGCAGCTGGTGATCCAACGACACGGAGGATGATGGTGATGATTGAACTGCTAAAAGTAGAATTTGATATAGATGTTAAGTATCTGTAAATGCATGGCTAGTCTGTGAGAACTGTCACGTTATGTCTCCAGGCTTTGTTGATGTTGGGGAGATTGTGGAGACCTTCAAGAAGCTGGGAGTTCATGTGGAGAGATCCGAGGCAGAGAGACTATTGAAGAGGTATGCTGTCTGTTTTCTGAGTCACAAGTATGTTGTCTGTTTTCTGAGAACAAGTATGTTGTCTGTTTTCTGAGAACAAATATGTTGTCTGTTTTCCAAGTCACAAGTATACTGTTTTCTGAGAACAAATATGTTGTCCGTTTTCCGAATCACAAATATACTTACTGTTTTCTGAGTCACTGTCTGTTTTCTGAGTCACAAGTATACTGTCTGTTTTTTTAAAAAGAACAAACATACTGTTTGTTTTCTGAGTCACAAATATAATTCTCTTTTCAGATCACAAGCATTATGTTTGTTTTCTGAGTCCTAAGTTTGCTGTCTCTTCTGTTAAAAGTGTGCCATCTGTTTCTTTAATAAAATATGCAAATGATTTAACTAGAACAGATAAAATAATCTCTCACGTCATATATAACCACATCTGTTGTGTCTCGAGTGATATGAATGTTATGTATAAAAAGTTATTTTGATTATACTTATATGATATTTTATGATTATTCAGATTATGGCAGCAATGGACATGGAACAAAGAATGTTGTTCACAATGTTCCAGCATGTGATTTTGTCGGTAATAGATTATGGACTTAAAATGCTTACGATATCAAAGCATCGCTGATGAAACTTGAAAGCATACAGAATAAAGCCATGCGGGTAATTCTGGGATGTACAAGAGATACCTCGGTAGTTCTTCTTTTTCTTCTGCGTTCGATATCAGTCATGCTAAACATTGAGTCCTGTCTGGGTCACAAATAGGATTGTGCGTTTAAGGTCGCCACCGGTCCCCCATAGCTTCTCTTTCAGTGTGGCTCCCTTGGGCCAGATCCACAGTCTTTGCTGGGAGAGGTAAGGGCAGTACTGTAGTATGTGCCCAGGGGTCTGTCTTTCTGCTCCACAATCACAGGCAGCAGATTCTTTTATGCCTATCCTGTACAGGTGTGCTCAAAGACCACAGTGCCCAGTCCGAAGTCTAAAAATTGTTGTTTGTTCTTTCCTGTTGAGTTTGTTTATGCTGTCACTCTCTGGTCTGTAATCTCCATTCTGCCTTCTCCACTCCCGCTTGAAAGTAGTATGTATGCGATATATACTTGCACTGCCTACTATTGCAGATAGGCTCAAAGTTCCGCAGGCAAAGTCATATCTCAGAGTAGCTGCAGACAAGAAGCACCTCTTGCATGAAGCCCTGGGTAGATCTAAGGGTCACAGACTAAAAAGAGGAAGGCCTTGGATGCCGCAAGCTGAAGATACAGTCAGATATGTGTGCAGGCTTGATAAATTTGTGTGACGTGAGCAGTGGGTCAGAGTGTCCGAACAAGTTTCAGACTCGTGCAGGGTTCTTGTCACTTTGGGTCATGGGTGCAGGGACTGGCCAGCTGGCGCTGCAGAATCAGAAGTTCAACAAATGATTCATGACAATTTCCACCCAAGGTATCTAAACAGATGGCTCTGTATTGAGGGGCAGATGAAGTGTATAGGGGTTTATAGCGAAGGCGAATGGATGTAGCTTAGTGGAACAAAGCCTGGCATATCACAATGTTAAGTTTGAGAATGGAAGTGGAGGCAGTCACTGCTGGCTTGAAAATCAGCTGTATACACATGCCATGATTGTCACTGACTCACAGAGCATGTTGAGAAAGGTGGCGACATGTATGCTCTGTGCAGAGGGGCAAGCATCACTTCAGAAGTCCCACGTAGTAGAACAGAGAGATAGACTGGCCGGTTCTGCACCACTTGGTGGTGAACTGATGTATGACAAGCTAGATGTTGTGAGTGCCCTCTGGGAGCGAGTGAACAGTGTGGAAACGCAAATAGATCATTACAATCTGAGGAGAATGGTGTTACGAGGAGTTACCAGGGGATCTGGCCGACGCTCAGCACTCCAGGGAAGGGCCAGACGGATATACAATCAGACAGTTACTGGTGCCATCAGAATTTTAACTCTTTGTTTGCTGCTGAAGGCGGGGACGGAGCGCTTATGGGGGGTCCCGAGTGCTCTGATGTCGATTCTTAATTCAACATTTAGTTTTTCATGTTTCACTGGTTGTACCCTGGCCAATGTTATGTTTGTTGTTACTGTCTCTCAGAATGGACACAGACGGGACCCTGAAGATTGACTGGAATGAATGGAGACAGTATCTAATCCTGACCCCAAGCCAGAGCATTCATGATATCCTCCACTACTGGAGACATTCATCTGTAAGTACATCATCTCTGTTTGTCCCTCTCATCCTCCGTCATCCTGTCTGTCGCAGCAGAACACCTGATGCTCTTGCTTAACATCAGAGATGGTAAACTGCCTTTTTTTTAAAAATAAAACTTATTTTCTGGAAGATCATCATCCTCATCTCTCGTCTCCTTCTGGGTCATTGTTTATGTATGCTTGTTAGATGTGGATATAATTCATGGACGTTGACCTAGGCCCTGATGCTGCAAGATATGCCAGGAGTAGGGAAGAACATCTTTATGTGGTAGTCTCTGTGAACATACATCATAGATGTTGCTGGCATTCTTACAGTTGGATAGTCTTCGTTGATAATAACCCTGTCTGCAATACAGATATACATCATATATGTTGCTAGCATTCCTGGCTGTGTACATACCTTTTGTATGTGGTTCGACTTAATTTTTCATGCAACATCCACTACTTTGAGACAACATGGATGTTATTAAAATTCCTGGATATGTACATACCTTTTAGATGTGGATTGAATTTTTTTTTTAAATACAACATCCACTACATCGAGACAACATGGATGTTAAAAAAATTCCTGGGTATGTACATACCTTTTAGATGTGGATCGAATTTTTTTTTAAATACAACATCCACTACATCGAGACAACATGGATGTTATAAAAATTCCTGGGTATGTACATACCTTTTAGATGTGGATCGACTTTTAAAAAAAAATACAACATCCACTATATCAAGACAACATGGGTGTTGTAAAAATTCCTGGGTATGTACATATATTTTTGGATGGGGTCTGACATTTATATTGATGCAGTATCAAATATGGATGTTACCGAAATTCCTGGCTGTGAGTGTTGCTGACTATGCCTTGTGGGTGTGGATATACTTTGATGTTTCTTATAAAATTCTTGGGAGTTGACAGACTTCAAATGTGGATATTCCCTGTCATATATTTTATAGGATGTGGGTAAATTTAATGCAGTGTAGATTTATTTTGTTAATGTTAATAAAATATTCAATGTTAATCCACCCTGTTCATGTTGGTGACTTCCTGGGTGTGATTTACTATTTGTATGTAGATAGATGGATTTTTTTAAATATGTAAATTTCTTGAATGTGGATAGACTCAATCTGCTTTTAGTTTTTGAGAATGGCTGCATTTCTTTGATGTTCAATGAAACAGTTAACCTTCTCTTCATCTTCATGTTCACCGGCTGTAAACTCTGGCAAAAGTTATGGTTGTTTGCCCACTTCTGGACTCTAGACCTGTTCCAGAAACTGACTGTTGCATGCACATCTGTTTGACTCATTTGCATGCTGACTGTTAGTTCCTTGCCTCTGAGGCAGATGTACTGCATACTGAATTATTAATACCCGCTGACTCAAAGAGCCACTGTTTAGATGAGAATCCCCTGGGACAGATCCTAGAAACCCTGTTCATCTGTATGGCACAGTTATAATGTGGCGCCCACAGGACCTGTAGTCCTGTTGGATTCGGCAGATCTGAACAACTGGGCTTGGAGTCTCTATTGAAACGCAGGCAGGAAGAAACTGGCCATGGTAATGCAGATGTTGAACATCAGTTTTAAAAAACCTAAGACACAACGCTAGCAAGCAAGTGAAAGTAAACATTTTGAGATCATACATCTTTGCTGTGGCTGAATGTGGAAGTGATTCATCAGCTATTTGGCTGTCATTAAAGAAGATTGGAGCTTTTCTTGAGTATTACAGAAAAATTTGTGATATACCATTGATCTGGAAAATGATACAAAATGTTCTTGAAGACATTTGGCTGTTACAGAGGAAAATGTCTCGGAAACTGAAATAATTTTATGCTGTATTAAACACCACAAAACAAAAACTCAGTAATGACGACATTGTTCATGGAGAAAGAGGCAGGGGCGGACCAGCACGGAGGTAGTCAAAGCATGTTATGGATACTTTCCACATTAATACAAGAGAAATTGGCAAGGCAGCAGCAGTGAAGGGAGCAACATATGAGGAACTGGCAAGGCAGCAGCAGAGAAGGGAGCAACATATGAGGAACTGACAAGGCAGCAGCAGTGAAGGGAGCAACATATGAGGAACTGACAAGGCAGCAGCAGTGAAGGGAGCAACATATGAGGAACTGACAAGGCAGCAGCATTGAAGGGAGCAACATATGAGGAACTGGCAAGGCAGCAGCGAAGGGAACAACATATGAGGAACTGGCAAGGCAGCAGCAGCGAAGGGAGCAACATATGAGGAACTGGCAAGGCAGCAGCAGTGAAGGGAGCAACATATGAGGAACTGACAAGGCAGCAGTGAAGGGAGCAACACATGAGGAACTGGCAAGGCACTTCAGTGAAGGGAGCAACATATGAGGAACTGACAAGGCAGCAGCATTGAAGGGAGCAACATATGAGGAACTGGCAAGGCAGCAGCATTGAAGGGAGCAACATATGAGGAACTGGCAAGGCAGCAGCATTGAAGGGAGCAACAAATGAGGAACTGGCAAGGCAGCAGCGAAGGGAACAACATATGAGGAACTGGCAAGGCAGCAGCAGTGAAGGGAACAACATATGAGGAACTGGCAAGGCAGCAGCGAAGGGAACAACATATGAGGAACTGGCAAGGCAGCAGCAGTGAAGGGAGCAACATATGAGGAACTGGCAAGGCAGCAGCAAAGGGAACAACATATGAGGAACTGGCAAGGCAGCAGCAGTGAAGGGAACAACATATGCGGAACTGGCAAGGCAGCAGCAGTTAAAGGACAACATATGAGGAACTGACAAGGCAGCAGCAGTTAAGGGACAACATATGAGTAACTGACAAGGCAGCAGCAGTGAAGGGAGTAACATATGAGGAACTGGCAAGGCAGCAGCAATGAAGGGAGCAACATATGAGGAACTGGCAAGGCAGCATCAGTGAAGGGAGCAACATATGAGGAACTGGCAAGGCAGCAGCAGTGAAGGGAACAACATATGAGGAACTGGCAAGGCAGCAGCGAAGGGAACAACATATGAGGAACTGGCAAGGCAGCAGCAGTGAAGGGAGCAACATATGAGGAACTGGCAAGGCAACAGTGAAGGGAACAACATATGAGGAACTGGCAAGGCAACAGTGAAGGGGGCAACATATGAGGAACTGGCATGATACTGGGAGGGAAGGGATTATATGTTCTTTTATCATAATCAACATCACTGCACATACTCATGTTTTCTCAGGCCTCTGATGCAGCTGCAACTTCAGTGTACCGCTACTGATTGTTCCCACGAGGAACTGGTTATAATATACCATATCCCAGCCCGGAAGGTGACATAAATGTGACATTTGAAATATAGTTCTCTGTCTAACAAAAACATAATGAGGATAGAGAGAAGATGACAAAAAAGAGAGGAAAGGTAGATGGAGATATTGTTTGATGAGAGAGAGAAGAGAGAAATAAAAGTAGCATTTAAAGAACCTAGTCGAACTAGAATCTGATGAGGACATAGAGAAAGTGTCAAGGAGATAGATGGAGATCAAGAGAGGAAGGAAGAGAGGGAGACAGAACGAAAGAAAGAGAGAGAAAGAGAGTGAATGTAGTAGCTGAAGGAAAGTACCAAATCCAACAGGAACCTGCTGGGGAGAGAGAGAGAGAGAGAGAGAGAGAGAGAGAGAGAGAGAGAGAGAGAGAGAGAGCGCGCAAGCACACCAACCCCCAGTGCTCCTTGAAGCACAGTCTTTGCAATCGAATCATGACTCACCACGTGCCCAAACCTAGCTAGCTTGCCACGTTTCACCAATGCCAAGAGAGGCTCCTGATGTATACGCATGTTGGTCCTGGACTGTCTCGCACAAAGTTCATGTACTTTTACGGCTCTGGTTCGAGGGAAAACTGTAGAAGAAGATATCGCCGCTTTTGCCTCAACTACAAGTAGTCTAAATATGGAGTTGATGGCAGTAACAAAAGCAGTGATGTAGCTAGAAACCCAGCATTTTTGCCATGCGTGCTTTCTAAGTGATTCCGTCCCACATGGCATGATAAATTTGGTAGGAAAGACATAAGAGCTAGCAAGGGACCGAGTTTCTCCCAAGCAGGCTATGATAAGAGTGACGGTCTGTGAAGGGCCATGATAATTCCTTCCATATAAACACGAATTCCTTCAATTTTTCTTCTTTTCGCGTTTCTGGCGGGAAAGTTCTGGTTATTCAGCCACTTCTAGACAACAGTTTTGTTCCATAACCTGAGTGTTGCGTCTGTTTGCAGACTGCTGATTCCTTGCCTCTTAGGAAGATGCACTCCGACTTTGAAGGAAGCTCCCAATTAGTCGACTCTAGCGACATGCTTTTGGGTAGGCAGTGGGTCTATTCTTGTTTTCTCTATAATAGGGCCCCAGAACTTACAGGGGGAAATTCCTTCCATTCAAAGACCGGCGACAGTGGGGGCGCCGGTGAGTCACGTGCCGGCCCCACTTCCGCAAGGGAAACAACCCCCGTGGTTGCCCGTCATCATCAGGCGTGAATATTTATCGCGAAGCCGCCAACAACGTTCGGGGGATTTTGTTTCGAACTTTATTTATCATTTCACACGGGTTTAGGATTCATTCGCAGCTTTTGTCGCGTTGAATTAGCGATATTTACAATTACTGTTTAAGTACTATTTGCTGTGGTATGTATCAGTAAAATAATTGTGTAGTGAATCGATAGTGACGATATATTTCATATATTATATATAGATAAATAAACAAGGACATTCACGGCCCGGCAGACAGGAGAGAGAAGAAAGACGACAGGCTGAATAATATATCATCGCGGGTTCAACAAACTTTAGTTAGGTCGTGTATATTTGTAGTCCCAAGTTTGGTAGTGAATGATGCAACGATCATCCTAGCGTTCAGTCAGTAGTGTTTTGTTTTACCTTTACATTAACATTGTAAATATTTTACTAGCCGTTGGTAGTTGGTCATATTCAATTCTTGAATTGAATATTCATTAGCTTAGCACGGTTAGCTTTAACTTTATGATATTCATATTGCGTCAGAGTCGTCAGTCGTCCCTATGTTCTAATTCATTTGAATTGGAATAGATTATATTAAAATAATTTAAATTTAATGATACAAAAATTATACAAGATGCTGATTATTAAAAATGTGGTAATGTTACCAGTGAAAAATTTACAACAAACTTATGGATGTTTCTTAAACGGTGACACTAGACTACATATTCATATTAATTTAATCACTTTGTCTTTTAACTGTAAACAGTCCTTGCAGTCATTTGTGAGCTTTCAGATGCAGCTTTCCTTTGGTTTAATTTCACTACTGAGCACTTCACAGTGACCTGATGAATGATGGTTATAATTCTTCTTAGGGAGACTTGACTGAATTGTTCGATGTTGCTCAGGCAAGATGATTGTAGATGGAGGAGGTATAAAGCAAAACTGATCTTTTGACTGTACACACAGTCCACACAACATATGGATCAGCCAGACCACACACCAGTACTCTAAAGTACTGGCCATTTTCGTATTTGAAATCTGGGTCCTGTGACCCAGCAGTCCAATTTTAAAAGACAGACAAGAAAAAGCTCTCATTATTTTGAAAATAAACAATTATCAGACACACACACAAAATTAAGTATCTAAAGGTCCTTTTTCCACGCCTGTAAGTGTATTGGGAATATAGTATATAGGGCTAGACCTATATTTTTATAAGTCAAACCTGCACTTGGTAGATTATATGGGCAACATCATGCCGGCCGCCTTTACTTCCCAGGACTGCACCTGGTACCCACTCAGAGCTGGGTCGACTTGGGAGTCAAGCTCATTTTAAAAAAAAAGGCCGGCTCTGTCAGGACGCGAATCCATAACCTTCCGATCCGCAAGTGGGCGTCTAGACGCCAACGCTATGGCATCTATCTACCAATTATCAGTAGTTTAATTTACTTATTTGCTCAGAATGCCTCACCTTTTGTTATTTCTCTTATTACCAAGGGGATGACTAGCTTTGAGGTGGTAGTCTCTTAGTTATTCAGATGACCTTGGCAGTCATATTTTCCTTTGGAGTCAGTAATGAAGGTCAAGTGAGGGATCATGCTGAGCAAATCCATTTTCTTCATGAATGCTTGTGCCAGTAAACAGTGGAAACATTCTGAAGGTTGTCATTGAAGGACTGCCAGTAGAAGAAACGACACACTAAGTAACATGGACACTTTTCCACGACTTCACGTGTGTCGGGCGTATAAATCTAGACCTTTATTTTATAGAGCAGTCAGCACTCAGCAGGTAATATGGTCAGCATCACAGCAGCCACCTTTACTTCCCAAGACTGCCTGGTACCCATTTTAGGCTGGGGTGACCTAGTGCCGAGATCATTTTTAGAAGGAAAAAAATCAGACTGCATGCAGATTTTGAACCTTCAATCTTAAATTAGCAGATTAACATCTAATCGCTACATTACAACGGCTCAAGTAACATTTAGTGTGGTTGCAGAAAGGAAGTGCTGTATGAGGGTGTCATTCCTGTATATTTACAGCCAGTGTGTTCAGATCTTTTTGACATTTGCTTCAGAATGAAGCATTCTTTGCTTTTTGTCCATAGTGATGAGGATAGGGATTCTAGAAACCATTGATGTAGTCCTGTAGCAAATAATAAAGAGTTTTAGACCGCATAATCTTACCACAAGGAATTAAGGTAACTGATGTCCTGTCTTAACACCTTCCTTGCCTAGATATTGTTAAAGGTGATTCAGAAAGAGATAAGATCTACTTCGGGCCCATCGTGGTGAAGAAAAATCCGACCACTGCAAGGAATTGAACCTGGTCTACTGTCTTGGTTAGCCAGCTTTGAGCTAAAATATGCAACAGCTTTTCACAATCTGCAGAAGTAACAGCAAATATTATTTATTTTAAATGAAATGTTCTTTTAAATAGAACCTAACAGAGGATTCTAGAATGTAATTTCTTGGATTTTTCAAACTCTGAAAGAACAACAGTATATTCGCATTATCAATACATTTTTAAGGTGTTTTTACTTGAAACTTTTCTGTGATTAACTGATTTAATAAAAAAAAAAAAACTGTAGTCGCCTCAGAGCTTGTAGCTTTGGTATTATTAATGCTTAGGTATTAGGTTTTTTAATATTGGTTTAATTTTTCTGTTTAGCTGTCAGGCCACACACATGTAGAGTACAGCAACTACTGTTGGTTATATAACCGGGTATAATTTCTATTCATTTTGCAGCTGTTACCAGAGATAGGTTGAAGAGACAGCCCCTAATGAACTGTTAAATTATTTCTGAAAGTAGTTACGAGGCCATCGCCAAATTCTTACCGGACAGACAATGTATGTGCTGGTCTGCAAGCTAGCATTGAACTCTCAGTGACAGACAATGTGTTTGTTCAGAAAACATACGTTTCATACATTTGTGGAAAAGTTACGCACACATAATCGTACAGAAACTTTGTTTGCCTCAGCTACACAAAAGGCGTCTATTCGTCTGAAAATTGTGATAATGGACCTCTTGCGACACAGTATACGTGTGGTTTTATAGTATTGAGTGGTAGTTGTGGTTAGTCCTGTCATCAGTCTTTCAGAGAAAACTCACAACTGAACAAGCATCGTTAGTCATAGGTCTTGTGGAAATGACGTCGGTGGGAAATAATTAATTGTGTGTGCTTTGAAACATTTCACACTCATAATCCTTCTCGTACAGTTAATATATTTCTGCATCTTGTTCTGATATTCAGAGCTTAGGTATTTTGTGTGGTATTCATATTGTAATATTGTGTGGAGTTTCTCTGCGGGATTTTCTGTTGTTTGAATGTGATCTGTCATCGCTAGAGGTGACAAGGGAATCTGTGCTGAATCTGGTGTTTGTGACGTGTCATCTCTAGAGGTGAGAAGGGAATCTGGTGTTTGTGACGTGTCATCTCTAGAGGTGAGAAGGGAATCCGTGCTGAATTCTGGTGTTTGTTTAAGGCACTACATAGTACAGATGTTTGCTGACCACTTCATGGACATCTCAGATCCCGATTTGGATCCTGATCTGAGATACAGGAGCTTCAACAAAAATTTGGGTCTCATCTCTGAAGAGGTATATACTGTTGATTAGAGTTTATGAATCATTGTTTTTTGTAGGCTTGTTTAGCAGATTTGTTTTGCGGCTCATTTTGCCCTCATTTGCACCTATTATGCAGAAACAAGCTGCATACGATGACAGAGGATAGAAGGACTCGGCGTGAGTTGGTTGAGGGTCTATGCTCTTTTGGGGGTCTAGAAAGGCAGAAGAAAGAAGATTATGCAGAAACATGGAATATTCAAAGCAGGGCCATTCAACCAAGTTTACCCAGGGACCAAAGTGGCCAGAGGTCAGATCCCCAACATAGAATGACCATTTATACAATACGATTGCCAGGTAATCTACGAGCCACACTTGCTAGGCATTTGTGGACTGGCTTTGGCCTGCAGGCTGCCAATTGAATAACCTTGATGTAGAGGCACTTAGTGTCAGGCCAAATAGACATATTCTGAGATATATCTCTGGCAGAGTTGTAACAGCAATCTGAAAGTTATTTGCCTCCATAGGATAGTGGAGAAACAGAAGAAAAAAGATTAAATATTAGCAAAACTGGTTGCAGGTTAGTTTTCTAAGAAATAAAAACTCAGTTTGCTTTCAATTATAGGGGTCCTGAAGGTTAGCACTTCATTGTAAAGCCACGACATGCCTGGAAATTGGCAGGAACTTTGTCTTTTGAGTTGGTTCACTTCTTTCACGTCTTCTTCACCACGGGGTCATGGATTATCAGGATTATAGCTCTTTGTCAGAGCCCAATATTGGTGTAAACTTGAGTCCTTCATGAGGGTGCTCTTCTTCACCATGTTTTTTTTTTTTCTTAATGGGCCTAAAACTCCTGCTGTAGGAGTAGACATTATTTCAGCCTCTGGACTCCCACCAGTACCACACAGTTGTCCACCCTCTCCTCACTACTTGGACTTCTTTAGCCTCAGACAGTGTTTGCTCTGCTTTTCCTATATTTAAGTGTTCGTATTCACAATAATAGGCACCATCGGAGAACAAGGGTTGTGGGAGATGGTATCACCCATGCTGCTGAGGTTTCAGAAGTCCTAGTTGTCTAACTGGGAGTCTTTGAGTTCAGACCCTGTCACTGTTTCACTACTAACTGATACTTTCCTACAGATAATTGATATTGGTGAAAATGGCTTGGTGCCGGATGACTTCACTGAGACAGAACTCAAGACTGGCATGTGGTGGCGCCACCTGGTGGCCGGAGGTGTTGCTGGCGCTGTTTCAAGGACGTGTACTGCTCCTCTGGACAGGTTAAAGGTGCTGTTCCAGGTAAGCCCTTTGTTGTTAGAACAGGTTGTCAGACGACTATTTGTCAGATGTGCTAATCTAGTGTTAGCCAGACTGGAGTGCGCTAAGATAATGTAGGATAACTTACACGGTTGTGTAGGAATAAATAGATTCTAATGTAGGATTAGCTGTTAACTGGTAACATGCGTTGCAGTACAAAAGAGTAAAGAGTTTTAAGTATTGGAGTTATGGTCTGGAAATATTGAGATTAAGGGTTCAAATGTAGAAATATGTTTTTTCAAATGTAAAACATGTGGGTGTTAGTATACCTCTCCTATAGCATTCCAAGCCGTTGATGTTCAGTGCTGCAAGTATCGCTCACCTCTTCTCATCTCTCTGGTTGGCCTCTTTCCAGTTTTATGACACAAAGTGTTTAAGGTCTGTCTGGATGTTATATCTCCATTGTCTTCTCAGTTTGCCTAATAGTCTAGGACCATTTAACTCCTGTTTTTTTTTTTTTTACCTTTGTCATCTGACATTGTCTTAGTTAGTTAGGCGACAGATTATCCTCATTGCACGTCGAACCTCTCAGTCCATAAGTGCTCGGATCCCCTCCCAAGTAAATCCTGCAGCTTGTAGCTGCTGACGGCACCAGTTCTGTATTGGTTTATTATTTTTCTTTGGCTACCAGCATAGTGTTCTTGTTTGGCGACACCCCGTTTAACATGTTGTTCTTGCAGTCTGATCATAGTTGCAGATTTATAGTTCTCAGTTGGTTCAGGCAAACGTCTTAACTCTCTTAGAGCATTCAGTATAACAGACTGGTCCATGGCTTGTCTGGCTTTCACAGTAGCCTTACCTGCAAGCCTATCAGCTTGCTCATTTCCTTGTACCCCTACATGTCCTGGCAGAAAAATTAAACCAATCCTTGTCAGTATATTAACTCTTATGATGCCTGTGATCACTGGTGATTTAAATAGATGATAAGAGAAAGTAAGTAAAGGATCCTTTTCCACGCCTTTGGGCATATAGGGCTAGACCTATATTTTACAGACCAATCTGCACTTGGTTGGTGATGCGGTCAACATCACGATGGCCTCCTTCACTTCCCAGGACTGCACCTGGTACCCACTCAAGGCTGAGTCGACCTGGGAGCCACGGTCATTTTTGAAAAAAACCTGGTTACCTCTGGACCTGAACTCAAAAACCTGGTTCCCTCGGGATCTGAACTCAAAAACTTGGTTCCCTCGGGACCTGAACCCAAAAACCTGGTTCCCTCGGGACCTGAACCCAAAAACCTGGTTCCCTCAGGACCTGAACCCAAAAACCTGGTTCCCTCGGGACCCGAACCCATGACTTTGGGATCCACATTTTAAATAGATTGTAAATTTCCTCATGAGTCAGATGTTTACAGTTGGAGGAAGATGACAACAATGTATCATTGACTCTGCCAGGTGCATGGATCTAGCAGGAAGAACATGACCATTGCTTCAGGCTTCAAACACATGCTGGAGGAGGGGGGCTTCAAGTCTTTATGGAGGGGAAATGGCATCAATGTCATCAAGATCGCCCCTGAATCTGCCATCAAGTTCATGGCCTATGAGCAGGTAGGTACCTCAGCTTTTGTTTACAGGATGTGGGTTTTTATTTCTTTGGGGTGATCTCCTGCAGTTGGCCAGAAAGTGGTAGTTAGAACATTGTGTTGTGGTTTACAGTTAAGCTGTGATATCTGTGCCTTTCGGCCAAACAAATTAGATTTCAGCAAATCCATAATTAGTCACATTTTTCCCCAATTCTGGGGGAAAACAAGAATAGACCCTCAGTCTCTCCAAAAATTTTGTTGTAGGAGTCGGCTAATTGGGAGCTTCATTTGAAGTCTCATTGCATCTGCCCGAGCGGCAAGGAACAACTAAATGCACACAAATAAGCCACTAAAACGGATGTACACGCAGAACTTAGGCCCTGGCACAAAGTCCAAATTGAAGAACAACCAATACTTTCTGCTGGCGCTTTCAGCCGACGAATAAAGAAGTCACCTTTGAGAACATACTTGTTAGGGGGCGGTGAGTCTGTAATTATGTTTTTGTCGTGGAACCCATGCAGGGTGGGTGTGATCAGTAATTCTGGCCTGGGAATAAATATATTTGTGGAGCCAGTTGAAAGAAATGCTAAACTTAAAATATTCAAATCTAATGTCAAATCAGTACTTTTGTATGGGGCGGAAACATGAACAGCTAAGGCAGTTACTAATAAACTACAGACATTCATTAACTGGTGCCTGCTCAGAATAGAGGGAATTAAATGGTATGATAGAATCACTAATGGAGGGCTTTGGGAGAGAATGAAGCAAGCTCCAGTGGACCAAGAGGTGAAGAAAAGACGCTGGCATTGGTGGGACACACACTGAAAAAAAACCGCAGAACAATATAAGTTGAATGCCTTTGCGCTGGAACCAACAGGGACTTATGAATAAAGGAAGGCCAAAAAACACATGGAAAATGAAGTTAGAAAGATGGGAAGAGTTGCATGTGATAGCAAAAGATAGAACGACTTAGCGTGAGTTGGTTAAGGGCCTATGATCCATTGTTGGCTAGAGAGGCAGAAGAAGAAGTTAAAAGGTTTTCCTTTAATGCCTCGTGGTAAACAAAGACAATCGGAATTTCACAATAGATTGACTGAAAAGAGTTGCTGAATAAAAAGAGACAGTTGAAATAACTGGCCACATTTAAAGACACAACCATCTTATAAAGGAAAAGTTAAAGCCAATCAAGGGGTAGACAATGGTTGAAGTGGAAGGAACAAATTAAGCGGTTCTGTTGAGGCTAAGATTGAAAGAGTTGCTATAGGAAAGAAAAATGAAATATTTTGGCCACATTGAAAGACACACAATTCTTGAAAAAGCCATAATTAAGGAAAAAGTTAAAGGCAGGCAAATAGGTTGACAGTAATAAAAATGGGGAATAATGGCCTAAAAAGATGGACTGTACCAGCCGGAAAGTGTTGAAAATTAATATAACTTATTATGGGAGACAACATTTGATTGATTGGTTATTTATTATAAATAGGCCAATGCTGAGGTTATGTTTCAAATGTTAGAACAGACCACAAGTCAGGCTAATGTGAGATTTTTGCAGTTTTGATGCCTGTTGTTGTCCTCAGATTAAAGCTATTTTCAAAGGAGATTCTAACAAAGAGCTCGGTGTCATCGAGAGGCTGCTGTCAGGATCTGCTGCCGGTGCTATCTCACAGACCACCATCTATCCCATGGAGGTCAGTTTGAGTCGGTTAGAGTTTAGGTTCTAGTCCAAGAACTTTTGTTAACACAGTGAGATTATCAGATAGATCTATTTAGTTAACTGTTTCTTGTATGGCTATAGATTAGGTAACTAACTATGCCTTGTGTGGCTTTAGATCTATAGGTAACTAACTACTCCTTGTGTGGCTGTACATGTTTACATATTTGTTTCATTTATAAGGTTAGATGTATTTACTTAGCTGTTTCAGATGTGTGACTGTATGTGTGTGTTTCTACTCAAAAGTAGGTCTCTTCGTATGACTGATGTTATATAGCTAAGTAATATAACTGTAGATGTGCCTGTTTTCATATTCTCAAAGTAAAATTTCAGTTGTTTTATATTGTCTGTTTGTGTCTATCTCATGTGAATGTAAGTGTACGGCCTAGTCTCCCCCTCACCCCCTTCCCAATTGTTATTTTAATGACTCCTGGTTTTTTTCTTTTTCTTTTAAGGTTTTGAAAACCAGATTGGCTCTGAGAAAAACCGGCCAGTACAGTGGTATATTTGACTGTGCCAGGAAAGTGGCCAAACACGAGGGTCTGGGCAGTTTCTATAGGGGTTATATACCAAACTTGTTGGGAATTATTCCTTACGCTGGCATCGACCTGGCCATATATGAGGTAAGCCTTAGGTCATGCAGAGCGAGGTTGTTTCATGTGTGCTTGTGGATGCCACAGATCAGACAGATCGAGGTTGTTTCATGTGTGCTTGTGGATGCCGTAAGAGTCGACTAACTGGGGTGCTTCCTTTGTAGTCGGAGTGCATCTGCCTGAGAGGCAAGGAACCAGCAGTCTGCATTCAGTTGAATCAGATCTGTAAAACCAATGCACACTCAGGTTCTATAGCAGGACTGCAGTCCAGAAGTGGACGAACAACCAGAACTTTACGCCAGAGTGTACAGCTGGTGAACGCGAAGAAGAAGAAGACAGATCGGGGTTGTTTCATGTGCGCTTGTGTATGCCTCAGATCAGACAGATCGAGGTTGTTTCATGTGTGTTTGTGGATGCCTCATATCAGACAGATCGAGGTTGTTTCATGTGTGCTTGTGGATGCCTCAGATCAGACAGATCATGGTTGTTTCATGTGTGCTTGTGGATGCCTCAGATCAGTGCCTGAACATGCTTCTGGGCCAATGTGGCCAATAGACAGGCCAACTGTTTTTAGTCTGGGCGAGGTATTGTTGCTTCTGGCTGTGGTTAGCTGTTGTATTTCTTCCCATTTTTGGACAGAAAGTCTACAGTTCCACTGCCCAACTACTTGGTTGAGTGCATGGTGCTCACACTACATGGTTTGTGTTGTGAACTACAGATTGAGAAAATTTTTTTTATTTAAACTTGTAGTAATGTTAGTTTCAGCTTCAAAGCAATCAGGTCACCCCCATGGTTGCTCCGCTCCTGTGCCAACCAAAAACACATATAATGTTCATCACTGACCCTTGTGGAAAAATTGACACAGACTGCAGTCTCAGCATGTCCACTAGCATGAATCCCCATTTAAAGCATAAAGCAGCCATCGGAAGTGCTAACACAAACAGTCCGACATTCGAAATGCAGTTCATCACCAACTGAAGCAGCAGCTATCAGGTTTTCTTCAAATGGAATGTGTCTCATCATTCCCTTGGTCACATTTGCCTGATGCTCCCAGTGTGTGAAAAGGGTCTGATACTTGCTTACTTCTCTTGGGCTATCCCATCAATATGAAAGCTCTGTTGACTTCTGAGGAAGCAGCCTGAGCTTTGTTTGGGAATGTCCAAAGAGTGCAATGAGGTCACTTCCTGTTTCAGTCATCATCAGGGTGACTGCGCTACTTGGTGAATTGATGTATGACAAGCTAGATGTTGTGAGGCCTTTGGGAGCCAGTGAACATTGTGGAGGCACAAATAGATCATTACTGTCTGAGGAGAGGGGTGCTGCAGGGAGTACAAGGGGATCTAGCTGTAACACTCAAGGGAAAGGCAAGACGAATGTACAGTTACTGGCACCATCGGAGTTGGAACTATTAGCTTGCTGCTCAGGATGGGGATGGAGCGCCTATGGGAGTGTCCTGAGTGCTATGATGTTGATTTTCTTAATTCATCATCAGAGTTGTGTGCTTAGGAGGAGACAACTGTATTGTTATCTGTTCAGCTAAAAAGTGACCACACTATCTTCTGTTGGTTCCAGACTCTGAAGAAGTTGTACATGCAGAAAAACAAGAACAAAGACCCAGGCATCATGGCTCTGTTGGTGTGTGGGACGGTCAGCAGTACCTGCGGTCAGCTGACCAGTTATCCACTAGCTCTGGTCAGGACAAGGCTACAAGCCCAGGGTAAGATTGACCTCTCTTGGGCATGGATGCTGCCTTTCTCTGTTCTGTTTTGTATGATTTGCTGAATTATACAACTAATTGCTTTCTTTGAAGGTCTGTGAGTCCTACAGCTGCAAACATTTCGGTCAGTTTGTGGTTCCACTGGGCTGTCCAGGGTAACCAGCTTTTGAGCGTAGGTACTCATTCATAACTTTTGGACAAGGGCAACAGCCTCATAGCCTACTCTTTGGGATTGTTCAACTGTTGTCTTGGGTTTTTTTATGTGCATGCTCTAATAAAGTGTGATATCATTAAATACCAGTGAAGTTGATAAAGTGTGATATCATTAAATACCAAGGAAGTTGATAAAGTGTGATATCAATAAATGCCAATGAAGTTGAAAAAGTGTGATATCATTAAATACCAATGAAGTTGATAAAATGTGATATCATTAAATACAAATGAAGTTGATAAAGTGTGATATCAATAAATGCCAATGAAGTTGATAAAGTGTGATATCATTAAATATCAATGAAGTTGATAAAGTGTGATATCATTAAATACAAATGAAGTTGATAAAGTGTGATATCAATAAATGCCAATGAAGTTCATAAAGTGTGATACCTTAGATACCAGTCAAGCTGTTAAATGTGATACCATTAGATACCAGTCAAGCTTGTAAAGTGTGATGTCATCGGATACATGTCAAGCTATATAAACTTATATAGTGTGTTATCATTAGAAGCTTGTGGGCTTTCACGGCTCAGATTGGAGGGAGAGTTGTGAAGGAAGATTCTGGAGCTTTTGCAGTAACTACAAGTAGTCTGACTATGGAGGTCATGGCTGTGACTAAAGCAGCAACAAGGCTAGAGACACAGACTTTCACTGGGGCATGTTTTCTCAATGACTCGATGAGTATGCTCATGAAAAATAGAGAATGGCTGGGTCCGAAGGCAGTGGTTGGTGGCTCTACAGAATTCACGGCTGACAAGGATTAGTTTCATGTTCGTGCCAGGACATGTGGGGGTACAAGGAGATGAGCAAGCTGATAGGCTTGCAGGTAAGGCTACTGGGAAAGCCACGTACCAGGATGATATACTGAATGCTCTAAGAGAGATGAGATGTTTGCTTGAACCAGCTGAGAACTGTGAATCTGCAACCATGGTCAGACTTCAAGAATAACATGTTAAATGGGGTGTCGCCAAACAAGAACACTACATAGGTGGTCAAAGAAGAAGAATAAACTTAACACAGAACTGGTGTCGTTAGCCGCTACACGCTGTGGGATTTACTGAGGAGAGGATGTGAGCACTTATGGACTGAGTGGTTCAACGTGCGAGGATTTTCTGTCAACTAACTAACTACCAACCAGTCAAGCTTGTAAAATGTGATGTCATCGGATCCCAGCCAAGCTTAAAAGTGTGATATCAGGTATCAGTTAAGCTTTTAAAGTGTGATCTGTCTGTCTTATAAATACTCTAGTGGGTACCAGGGGATGTCCTGGGAAGTCAAGGTGACTAAGGCAGTGATGACCAAATGACCACATTATTAAGTGCTGGTTGGTCTAAAGTTTGGATCTAGCTCCATATACTAAGCCCCGTGGACAGGATAAAGGTCCTTAACATTTCTCTTCTTCTAGTTATGCCTTTCGATGTCAGGTTTTGAAGAGATGTCAGGTGCGAGCCTTGGTAAAAACTGTCACTTCTATCTGATTTGCCACTTTTTTTAGGGTGGCTGGGACAGGGAGCCTTGAGTCTGTGGATTTAGGGCACCTGGCTAATGCTGTTGCCACGGACTGTGCAGGTTACAGTGTTTAATTTTGCCCCAACGTAAAAATTCCACCTTATCGGGGGTTGAAACTGGGACTCTCCCATGAGAGCCTGGCATTGTAACCACTCGACCAGCCACTCCTCCTTATAGGCTATAAAAATGCGGGTATTTACAGGTTCAGATATTCCATCAGTCGGTCACTGGTTGTGCTTTTGTTTTACTGAGTGACAGTGGTCTCTGTGGTGTCCTGTCTGGTGGTAGTCTGACACATGGTGACAGTGCTCTCTGTGGTGTCCTGTCTGGTGGTAGTCTGACACATGGTGACAGTGCTCTCTGTGGTGCCCTGTCTGGTGGTAGTCTGACACATGGGGACAGTGCTCTCTGTGGGGCCCTGTCTGGTGGTAGTCTTGACACATGGTGACAGTGCTCTCTGTGGTGCCCTGTCTGGTGGTAGTCTGACACATGGGGACAGTGCTCTCTGTGGGGCCCTGTCTGGTGGTAGTCTGACACATGGTGACAGTGCTCTCTGTGGTGTCCTGTCTGGTGGTAGTCTGACACATGGTGACAGTGCTCTCTGTGGTGTCCTGTCTGGTGGTAGTCTGACACATGGGGACAGTGCTCTCTGTGGGGCCCTGTCTGATGGTAGTCTGACACATGGTGACAGTGCTCTCTGTGGTGTCCTGTCTGGTGGTAGTCTTGACACATGGTGACAGTGCTCTCTGTGGGGCCCTGTCTGGTGGTAGTCTTGACACATGGTGACAGTGCTCTCTGTGGTGTCCTGTCTGGTGGTAGTCTGACACATGGTGACAGTGCTCTCTGTGGGGCCCTGTCTGGTGGTAGTCTTGACACATGGTGACAGTGCTCTCTGTGGTGTCCTGTCTGGTGGTAGTCTTGACACATGGTGACAGTGCTCTCTGTGGTGTCCTGTCTGGTGGTAGTCTTGACACATGGTGACAGTGCTCTCTGTGGTGTCCTGTCTGGTGGTAGTCTGACACATGGTGACAGTGCTCTCTGTGGGGCCCTGTCTGGTGGTAGTCTTGACACATGCCCAAACCATTTTTCTTGACATTAAATTTGTTTTACTTAGTGACAGTGCTCTCTGTGGGGCCCTGTCTGGTGGTAGTCTGACACATGGTGACAGTGCTCTCTGTGGGGCCCTGTCTGGTGGTAGTCTGACACATGCCTTAACGATTTCCCTTGACATTACCCTTGTTTTAAAATCTTCATATTTTGTCCTCTGCAGCTCAAACTGGCTCCACGTCCAAAGACACAATGTCTGGAATCTTCAAGCACATATTGAAACATGATGGACCAAAGGGGCTGTACCGGGGCATTGCTCCCAACTTCCTCAAGGTGGCGCCGGCAGTTAGCATCAGCTACGTAGTGTACGAGCGGATGAGGACAGCCCTGGGTATCAGACCTACCTAGACGCCGCCCCTGTTTTATTTTTTTTCGCTCTTTCTAAATACCTGTGCTAACATTGGTTGTCGTGGAGACTGAAACTCAAATGACCTGTTGACCATCAGATGCAAGATTTGTGGGGATCACTTTCATCCAACCCAGATGCATGTATATCATAACTTTCATTTCCCCATACACGAACGTACAAATATAACTATTGTCTCCCATCAGCTTCGACAAGTTAGCGTATTAAATAACACATAGGTGCTATTTGTCTGCTGAAAAGGGTTGTATGTATGTGAGTTTGTCAAACAAAATATACGTGTGTGGTAGAGTTTATCCTAAAGCTTGTACAGATATTGTAATACTTTCCTGAGTAAAGCTTTACGTGTCATAATTTTCACCAAATCAGGATGAGGATTTGAGATTTGTATTTTGAATACCATCCCCAGTTAACTTTAGATCACATTGTATCAAATATCTATGCTTATTCTCTTGTAGACGTAGGCAGTTTTGTTCTCTCCTAGTTAGGTGTTCTATGTACAGGAGCACACATTTTTGGTTATATCGTGACTACATTTCTAGAAGGGCTTATACTAATCCAGTGTCTTATTGTGATAACGGAGTGGATGTGGGGAAGTGCAGGCTAGGTTCATGTTGTGTGGGGAAGTGCAGACTATGTTCATGTTGTGTGAAGGAAGTGCAGACTAGGTTTATTTTGTGTGGGGGAAGTGCAGACTATGTTCATGCTGTGTATGGAGGGCTGGTGAAGATTGGATATTTCTGTTAAATGTTTTCTTCTCCACTGTGAATTATTTGCTCATTTGGGTAGCTTGGTTGATTGTAAAATGTGTTTCACCCTTGGGCTTGATCTGTGGATATTTAGTAAGCCCCAGCTGTGAAACTGGTTTTCATTTGTTGTGAGTTGAGAATCAACATTCCCATAAGTGCTCCGTCCCCCCCCCCTCTTCAGCAGCAAACGCAGAGTTCTAGTGGTTCGGATAGTACCATTAACTGTGTTGTACATCCACCTTGCCTTTCCCATGATTGTTCAGCGTCGAGCAGATTCCCTGATCAGCCCTCACAGCACCATTCTCCTCAGACGTTGATGATCTAAGCATGCCTCTGCATGTTCACTACATTTATCTGTTGAAGTAAGGGAGGTGTAGAGACTTCCTTTCTGACCTGGTGCTGAAATACCATCTCCCAGTAACTGCTGAGCTCTCTTGCAGAGACCCCCGGTTCAAAACTAAGCTGTATATTTGCCGAAAGATGTGGCGATCTTTGGGTGTTAGCCTGGCCGAGGATTCAGTCTGTGGGTGGGTCATACCATGAAGAGGCACCCAAGGGTTTTAGCCTGTATATTTCTTCAACATCTTGTGACCACTGGAAAGATCTGTGGCAAAAAAAAAAAAAAAAAACTGGAAGGGCAACATGAAACAATTCTTGACAACCTTTTATTGTGGCACAGAGGGGTGTCTTATTGTGGCACAGAGGGGTGTCAGCACACAAACTGATACATGCTGTTGAAGATGGCAGTTTCAGGGGAGGCATGATCATCCATGCCAGTTGGCAAAGCACTTTATGTTGATGACCTGAACGTGTGGTCCCTGCAACCTATTTGCTTCTCTTTTGTTTATATTTCTGGAGGCTCTACCTCAGAGTCTCTTCGTATCTCCCAGAGGAATGTTGATCAGGCTGATTTGTGTTTCCAGTTTAGACACCTGAGAAAAGGGTTTAGGTGTCCTGTCATTTCCATCATGGGATGGCACACAACTGCTATCACTATCACATCAGTCCCTTTGATTTTCTACAAGATGGCCTGTCAGTATATATGAAGAGACCATCTTGCTGTCTTGACTATTTACATTTGCCAGTATTATCATGGGCTTTTCTCACTGGCATGGGTGATCATGTTGCTGCATATCTCATGATCTCTGAGAGAATGCTTCAGTTGGATATATGTGAAGATAGATGTAGAGGTGGTTTTCTTTGACTTTCACTAGTTTATGTGGGTTAACTCCACTAGCCTTTCTTTGTCTAAAAGTCATCTTCAAAAGGCAACATATGGGAGAGGGTATTATGGCATCTCTTGCCTGCTGATGACAGTTTCGCAGTCTTGAGTTGTACGGTGCTCTCTGCCACCGACTTGTCTCCTGTCAGTGAATATTGTGTTGTCCTGTGACCACTTACTATCTCTTCACCCTTAAACTTCTATGCGTGGAGTCCACTTCACTGTCTGTTTGCGGATTAACTGGATATTATTAGACATTATATTGTTTCATCATTTTTCCTGTGCACGAGTTTGATCATTCTGAAGGCAACACACATTTTACTTCTTCCATAAAACTTTATCACAATATTTTAACGCTTATTGATATTTTCTCATGGTTTTGGGGTAACCTGTTTGCACTTGAAATATTCCTAGAATGATGGTGCAAAGTTTTGAAGATTATGTTTTTGATCTTAGAAAGATATAATGTTTCTGTGACAGTCTTTGGAACAATAATTCTAGTAGCTAACCAATTTTGTGTGTGTGTGTGCAGATAGAGTTGTATACTCACAGGGGACTCTGTTTGCTTCTTTTTATCTCTGTTGTTGATGAGCAGGGTAGAAAACTTCAGTATTTTGGGTTGTTTTTGTTGCTGCTGCCTGGTTAGGTAGGATTCTCATGCCCTGGAGATTAGTATGACCAAAATCTTTCTGCCGGAGCTTACAGCGAGTGAACAGGAAGAAGAATTGGCTAGTTCCTGTCAATATATTCTAGTGTGTGCAAGCATAAGCAATGAGATGTCGGGTGGAAGATTGCCTTATTGACATTTTTATTTTAGTTTTGCAAAGCAAAGCAAGTTTTGGCCAAGAGAAACACCAGTGCAAGCCAAACTTTGCAGGTCGCTGAGTAAATTACAAAAGACAGTAAAGTTCATACAAGAGACAACATTACAGATATAGATATATTTCAGACCAATGACGAAAAAGTAGTAGTAGTTTGTTATACAATTTTGAATGAAATCTGGCATAGGTATTGTGGATAATACTGCTGCCAGTATTTTTTTTATTCAAGCACTCAAAAGATGATGTTTTATTTATTTCTATTTCACATATGTTTGTGCAATTATAATTGCCGCAATTGTTTGTCTTCACACTGTGCAGATGTCTTTGTTTGAGCAGATGGGCAGCCATATTTGGGTCTGAGGGAAATTATATCTTAGACTGGGGGTTCTCAAACTTTTTTTGTGTGCCTGTGGCATCCTTTTAAGGCTTTAAAAAAAAATTTCGGCACACCTTCACATAAAGCTGTTAAATTCTTAGGAAAGAAAGTAAAAAATAGCGCGCATTAAATGTTAAATTGTCTTTATAGTGATAAAAGAAACTGGATGGATTTGGCATTATATCCTTTTCATTTTTAGAAACTCGCTATCATGCCTTCTTTAATAATTTCACACTGTTTAGCCGACTTTTCTTGATTGGTACCGCAGCACCCAGTTTGAGAACCTCTGACACTGTCAGGATGGTTAAGCTGAATCAGACATTTTAGGGGGTAAAAACTCTGTCTTTAGATGTTGCTAGAAACTCTGCCACTGTTCTCCTTTTTTGTAGATTGTACATGTATGTCAAAGAGAATGAGGAGACCAGTACCCTGCCACACAACCACTACCACAAGCCTTGTGACTGTCATCTGGCTAGTTTGTCCACTAGTTTTCTGGCTTTGTTTTGCAAGCAGCTGTACATTTTGTCACTGGCTGTAGCATGGCAGACATGCATGCCTGATAGGGAACGACCCTGTCTCCTCTGTCTGTAAATGTACTGTCCATCCTTGTATGATGTCAGATGTCCCCCCTGTAGCCCATATTTTAACACTGTACTGGTCGAACTGTACAAGACTGATAGAAGGCTAGTTGTGTCCCTTGTGTATCGGGTTCCCATATGATGTGAACTGAGCTGTTCTATGTGTGTGAGTCAGTTCATTATGTGTTTCATCATTCACTGGTTCTGTTTGCAGTTATGTGTTATTGACTTGCTTCCTGCACTTTGTTTATATGACCACTGCCAGTTAAGTTGCGTTTACTTTATGCTTCTTTTGTACCTTCATTTTCTTGTCCTGTGTGACCACTTCTTTCATCAGCCTACCTCACTTTTGGCAGAATTGTTGTGTCTTTGCTGTAGGTTGATTGATTCACAGGTGTGGTTTCTTAATTCACTGCTGTGTGGTGCAGTTAATGAACAAGCAACTAGAACAATTGAAGAGTTCCTCCCAGTTTCTAACCTCCCGACAGCTGTGAACAGTGCCTATCTGGCAGGATGTGATATTGTGTGCTAATGTTTACCTTGCTGTGGTGTTAACCAATGTGTATGGGACCACTTGTGTGTGTTTTTGCTGCCTCTGTCTGTGTGACTCACCTCAATTGTGGTGATTTGTTGCCTTGTTTTTTGATCTCATCTTTAACATGATTTGTGATGTTTTCACTTGCATCTTCTGTACATTTTATTGTTGAAAACTTAGTTTAACTGTGTGCACATCTAGCCGTGTGAAAGCTGCACAGGCCTTCAGATTGTGTGTGTTTAACAAAATTGTGAACAATTTCCTCCAAGAACAAGGCCAAGCTGGCCTCTCAGTGTTGCTAACTTGTATGTTTTTGCCCAGATTTTGAGTTGACTGCCAGTATCTGTGTCCTGGCTTGGCTTCATTTGGCCAGGGTGTTGTTGGCCAGATTGAGCTGTTGAAGTGTTTGCTGAATGTTGATTGATTGGATGTTGCTTGTGTGTTTATGTGTATCTGAGGATTGATTGAGTTCTGGGTGTTAGGAACATTGCTGCAGCTCATAGATTGGTTGCCAGTGAGGGATGTTTGTGTTGCTGTTCTATTATTTGATACTGCTGACACTATTCCTCAAGTGAACTATGACCCCCGTGTGATCTTGTTTCTGTGAGAGGACCAGACTATCCTAATTACAGTGGTGAGTTGCTAGAATAGCAAGCAGCTGGTGGTGTTGGGTGTATGTTCTTTGAGGAGACTATGCTTGGAGCCTCTTGAGGCACAAGTACATGTCTGGTCATCATGTATGCTGCTGCAGGGTGGGTTGTGCTGGCATTGTATACCTGGATAGATGGATGGTGCCAGAAAGAAAACTGACCAGTGAATGTGAGAGAGTTGAGTATAGAGCACATCTGTATAGTGGAATGTGTCATTTTCAGTGACAGCAAGTGTTTCTGTTGATTGTTATTGTCATGTTTTTAATATTCTTATGTATCTGACTTGAGCTTTTAATGTCATATTTTTTCACTATTTATCTCAGTATAAAAAGTACACATGAATTAAACATTTCTATTGACTTTGCCCTTATACTTCATTGTTATGTTTGACTAGATAATGTCTGAAAATGCAGAACATACCCAGTCATAAATACCAGACCTAGTTTTTAATGGGTAACTAACACACATTCTCTTTCTCTCTCTTCCCACCCCCTCTCTTTTGTTCTTTCTCACACATTTCCCCTTTTTGTTGTTGTTTCATTCCATATATATTTTTAAAATTTCCATGTTATTTACCACTGTTTATTGGTCACACTAACAGTTGTTCAACATATTGTTTATGTCCTCACCTTGTCTCAGATATATACATTCAGTTTCAATACCATTGTGGATGTGGTACCGGCAGGTCTTCATGGCACCAAACATTGCTGGATTAGTGAAGTGATCATTGCCATGACTGACTGACTTCCCGGAATACTTCCTGCAGCTGCTGATATTGTTGGGGCAGCTGTCTGGGTGTAAGAACAGCAGACTTGAGGCGAGGGTACTGGTCAGTGCATCTCTTTACAAGTTGCTGTGATGGTTTAGGATGTTTTACTGGTCGGCTTTTCTTTCCTGCCTCCATTTGTTGTCTCTTTAGGATGTTTCTTCATTGTGAAATGGTTATTTCATTGTGTTTCCCTAATGAAGAATCAGTTAACATTTGTGATCGTCAGCTGTTGTCCAGTTGACTACTGCCTAATCCCATTATTGAGTTCCCTTTATCTTAGCTGGGTTTGTCTCATGACATCATTTATAGAACACTGCAGACTACTGGAGAGATTCTCCTGCCTCATGCAGCATTATGCACAGGATTCCTTTCATGTTCTGTGTCCCTTGTGGTCTTGTTCGACTCCTGTCTCTAGCTAAGCCTTTCATGGCTCCTCTATTGAAACATTGGCAACGTTAATAGGGCAAAACTTTTTCAGGTGTGCTTGACCAAGCCAGTTTTCGTTGGTGTTCGCATCTTTGAATCTGTCATTGTTCTTGCTTCTTTATCCTCTGTACTATAAGAATTTTTCTTTGACATTGGCTCTGAATTAGACAGTGTTCTTGTATGGATTATGCTTGGCTCTGAATTAGACAGGGTTCTTGTATGGATTATGCTTGGCTCTGAATTAGACAGGGTTCTTGTATGGATTATGCTTGGCTCTGAATTAGATAGGATTCTTGTATGGATTATGCTTGGCGCTGAATTAGACAGGGTTCTTGTATGGATTATGCTTGGCGCTGAATTAGACAGGGTTCTTGTATGGATTATGCAACATGGCCAAGACATCCAAGAATGTTTTCTTTGCTGTGGTCCCATAAAGTTTAACAGTTGTTGACATTTATAACAGTCCCACAGACCGGGACTGTCTCTGGTTTCTAGTGTTTATTTGCTGTGGTCCCATAAAGTTAAACAGTTGTTGACATTTATAACAGTCCAACAGACCGGATCTGTCTCTGGTTTCTAGTGTTTATTTGCTGTGGTCCCATAAAGTTAAACAATTGTTGACATTTATAACAGTCCAACAGACCGGGACTGTCTCTGGTTTCTAGTGTTTATTTGCTGTGGTCCCATAAAGTTAAACAGTTGTTGACATTTATAACAGTCCAACAGACCAGGACTGTCTCTGGTTTCTAGTGTTTATTTGCTGTGGTCCCATAAAGTTGAACAGTTGTTGATATTTATAACAGTCCCACAGACCGGGACTGTCTCTGGTTTCTAGTTTCTTTGCTTCCTGACAAAACTGCCACATTTATGTTTCTTTGCATTTCCCTCAGAAACCACACGTCTGCTGCCATCAGATTTTCCCCAGCCTGTCTGCTGATTGTCCATATTTCACATGCATACAACAGTACAAGTTATACAAAACACTTTTCTTGTCTCTCTAGTTGACAACTCTTTATGGGTGACTAGTTTCTGTCTTGCAGATAGCTACTTTTTTTGTTAGCATTTCTTATTCTCCAGTCTCTATGTGGCATCTTCTTTCAATCTATTTCAAGATAGCTGTACCGATTCGGCTTGCTCAACAATGGGCTAGTTTTCTTGAAATAAGGCCAAGAAATGTTGACTGTTACTTTTTGATGTTTTCTGTAAGTTGTCAAGTCTATTTCAACGAGATTAAGATGGCACATCTTGACTGTCCCAGAGAGACATTTTGATTCCTGATAACCAGCTACCAGCTGGTTGAGGCAGAGAGGGTTAAGATGCTCTAGTGTTTGCCAGTAATGATTTTCTCATAGGACAATACTGATGGTGGTCTTTCCCTTCCCTCCACGGCCCCCAGGCCTTCTGTACTGGAGCTACCTTTTCATTCTTGGGGTAACAAGGTGAGACAGATGTGACATAAAACTCCTGCAGCTTCTCCAGCATCTTCCTCACAATGTTAGGTTGTCTGCGTGAGAGGTCGTGTTTCTCCAGCGGGTCCCTGCGTATATTGTACAGCTGAACCAGGCGTGCAGGCCCTGCTATGGTGTTTTTCATGTGTTTTACATGTTTATTGAGCGGCCGCTGCTTCCTCTTGTGTCGCCTTTTTCCTCTGTACTTTGACTTTCGTCTGTACTGATTTCTCGAGATCATAAACTTGTTTGGTTTGTTGATTCTTCGCTTGCATTTTCCCTCTGAAATAAAAATGGGTAACAGTTAATTTGGTGCCGAATATCTGTTGCCATCCAAAAGTTGATTCTCTTCCTTGCCAAAACAGCCCAGCTAATGTCTGTGTTTAACACTTCTCTGGTTTGAAGTTTGAACAACGGATAAACACCAAGGCAAACGGGTAGTAACCTATAAGTGCTCCATTCTACTTCTAACTCAAATCCGAGTCTGAAGTAGTTCAGCACAATGCACAGGCTCCGTAGCACCGAAGAGGATCCTTAAATATTTTGAGTAGATTTTTAACTCCAAATTTTGCCTGGGCATTGCTGTTATGCTACCCTTTTCGATTTCCAATTGCCATGGGATTTTTTTGACTACCCAGAGACCAGGAGAAATTACTAGAAGACAACCTGAACAGAAAAAATCCCAGCCTGAACCCGGAACCTCTAGCAATCGAGGTGGACACCATACCTCAAGACTATGCAGCTACCCAATACTTCTCTGCTGTAGGCAGAGGGTCTTTGAGCGAGAGAATTTTACGGCTGCATGGCTAGTGCTGTCGCAGGGTAGGATTTTATTTTTGCCCCCAACAAAAAAAAAAAAAATACCTTACCGTACAGAGGATTTGAATCCGTGTCTCCCACATGAGAGTCTGAAGTTCTTAACCATTTGGCCATTTCTTTCATTGGCTCTGAATTAGAGGGTTATTACATATTACCAAAGTGTACTGGGATACCTCACAGTGTTGTTATAACCCCGCAACTTGTGCAGTATAGTTATAAAGTTAATTAAAAGAAAAAGTAAAGGGCCCTTTTCTTGCCAGTGGCACATCAGGCATATGATGCTACATCCATATTTTTATTGACCAACTGGCACTCAGTAGAGAATGGGCTCAGTATCACGCCAGCTGCTTTAATTTCCAGGACTTTATCACTGCCCTTTTTTAGGCTGGGTCGATCTGGAAACCAAGGTTATGTTTGAAAGAAGTTCAGCTTGATGCAGAATTGAACCGCTGATTGTTGGGCCGGGGGGCGATCATCTAGCTGCATTGGGCATACAGGTTTTATAGACCAGATAGATAATGTGGTCAGCATCATGCCAGCCGCCTTTACTTCCCAGGACTTGTACCTGGTACCCATTTAAAGCTGGGTGAACCTGAGAGCCAAGGTCATTTTGGAAAAAAAAAAATTACGACTCAGTCAGGACCTAAGCCCCCGACCTTCGGATCTGCAGACAAGTGTCTAGCCACTACACACCAGTGACTTCTGTATAACAGATAACATCATTCCCTTTCTTTGATTCCATGATGTTTCCCATAGCACACTGGTGAGGTATACCATATTTATCCAGGTGTAAGACGCACTTATTTCCCAAAATATAGGGTCTAAAACAGTGTGTCTTATACAGTAGCAGTAGATTTATTAGAGAATATCCCGTACAGGGCCTCATTTCAGAATGCTTGTTCAGAGGTGACGTAAAATACAAATGAAGATAAGGCAATATGTGAAGACAACAGTTTGTCATCAGACACAAGGACAAGCTAAGTAATTTATACAGATGAAAGAGTTTTGACAGTGGTGAGTTCTCTGGATTCTATGATCAATTAAATGTGAGGTCAATAACATTATTTATTCATATTATTTTTTCCTTCAACATTTCCTAGTCCCAAAATCAAGTTGCGCCTTATACTTGGGTAAATACGGCACTGACTGCAATTTTGTGTTTTTTCTTCTTCAAACTCTTCCAGGTACATTGTGCTTTGATGGGCATGTCTGTCAGGTTTGCCTTGTTAGTGTATGAGTATTCTCATTCTGCCTGACAACACATCAGGGAACATTTATGTGTCCCCTCCGGTCCACTCTTTGTCTGTCCAGCATTGCACAATGTGCCAGTAGTTATGCTATTTCATATTGTAGTAGTATTTCCGGCAAAGTGACCGTCATGTCCTTCTTAAGGCAGTTCACCCCCCATTGGACTAGGTCTGGCACTTAGCTCTCTCCTGTGGGTCTCAGCAGCTGTCAGCATGCAACAGCGGCCACCCCCGGGCAAAAGCTTTGATGGGCTGGCTAAACCACTTAGTGATTGCCTACCCTGCATGCAAAGATGACTGCGGATTGCGCAGATGAAACCTCTTCTTGGTTCAATGGGCAAGAAGGTGATTACCAGCAGGCTCTGTGGAGAGCTTTGAACAAGGCAGGGCACATAAGATGCCTTGGTCATCCACTGCACCTAGGTCCATTTCCAATTGTCTTGACGAGAGAGTGAGGTCGACGAATTGTGCAACTCTTCCTAATTTAAATCCAAGTCCTTGCGCAAGTCACTTTCATCCAGCTACTCATAATCATACATGGAAAGAGAAGAAGGACGTAGAGCACGGGGTAGACCAAGAACAAGATGGAAGGATAACATCAGAGAAACTCTACAACAGCACGATGTGACTATGGTCGAGGCAGCCAGAAGAGCTAGAAACAACCTTATATCTATCTCCCTCAACACCCACAGCGGTAAAAGAGGAAGTGAAGAAGAAGAAGAAGAAGACTCATAATCATTGATTATTACTACTTTGGATGAAAGTGGTCTTCATCCCTCATGGTGGATGAACATCATTATCATCAGGGCATTTCAGTTTCTACCACTTTGTGATTGTTACACTGAATTATTAGATTTTTGATTTTTTCTTGTTACTTTTGAGTGTAGACGTACATGACAATTTTATGAAGCCCTTTCTCTTCTACCCTGAGATTTAGAAGTACCTTACAGTCTTGTTTAGTCTTTAGGTACCAAAAGGTTTTGTTTTATTTAGAGTTTGTTTTCCAGTGTACCCCATCTTGTAGTAACATGTGTGACCACACAAGCTCCAAAGCCTGGCTCTAATAAGGCATAAAGCTAACAAACAGTGACCATGAAGTTGCACAACCAAACACACAGGGAAGTCAAACAGATGTGACTGAACTCACCTGCACAACCAAACACACAGGGAAGTCAAACAGATGTGACTGAACTCACCTGCACAACCAAACACACAGGGAAGTCAAACAGATGTGACTGAACTCACCTGCACAACCAAACACACAGGGAAGTCAAACAAATGTGACTGAACTCACCTGCACAACCAAACACACAGGGAAGTCAAACAGATGTGACTGAACTCACCTGCACAACCAAACACACAGGGAAGTCAAACAAATGTGACTGAACTCACCTGCACAACCAAACACACAGGGAAGTCAAACAGATGTGACTGAACTCACCTGCACAACCAAACACACAGGGAAGTCAAACAGATGTGACTGAACTCACCTGCACAACCAAACACACAGGGAAGTCAAACAGATGTGACTGAACTCACCTGCACAACCAAACACACAGGGAAGTCAAACAGATGTGACTGAACTCACCTGCACACACACCAAACACACAGGGAAGTCAAACAAATGTGACTGAACTCACCTGCACAACCAAACACACAGGGAAGTCAAACAGATGTGACTGAACTCACCTGCACAACCAAACACACAGGGAAGTCAAACAGATGTGACTGAACTCACCTGCACAACAAACACACAGGGAAGTCAAACAGATGTGACTGAACTCACCTGCACAACCAAACACACAGGGAAGTCAAACAGATGTGACTGAACTCACCTGCACAACCAAACACACAGGGAAGTCAAACAGATGTGACTGAACTCACCTGCACAAGGTCCTGTGATGAGCTTGTAGTCTCCGATTCTCAGGGCAGCACTCATTCGGGCATCAAATATACTGGAATACCTGGTCACACAGGTAAATCTTGGTGAGTGACACAGTTTACAACATGACTTAGCAGTAACATAAGATACTACCTGTGGAGTGAGTTTGAAGTGTATGCTCAGTCATGGTATCATGAATGTTGAATTAGGAATCAATGTCATAGCAGTCAGGACACTCCCATAAGCGCTCCGTCACCATCTTCAGCAGCAAATGAAGAGTTGAATTCCAGTGGTACCAGTAACTGTCTGATTGTATATATGTCTCACCTTTTCCTTGAGTGTTGAGCCTCGGCCAGATCCATGAGGAACAGTTACCTTTCTTAGTGCTTGTCCACCCCTTTTTTCTGGTACCAGGCTGGGTCCACCTCAGAACCATACGGTAAAGGAAGATAAATTTGCCACAGCTGGGGGCTGAACCAGGGACATGGTGTTGGCACAGGTACAGGTTGAACCAGGGACATTGTGCTGGCAAGGGTGGGGGTTGAACGAGGGACATTGTGTTGGCAAGGGTGGGGGTTGAACGAGGGACATTGTGCTGGCAAGGGTGGGGGTTGAACCAGGGACATTGTGCTGGCAAGGGTGGGGGTTGAACCAGGGACATTGTGTTGACAATACTGTGGAGGGAGGTTTGAAACAGTGACATTGTGTTGGTGATCAGTGCAGAGACATGAACAGATCATTATGGTTTGGGAGAAAGTGATCAGTGCAGAGACATGAACAGATCATTATGGTTTGGGAGAAAGTGATCAGTGCAGAGACATGATCATATCATTATGGTTTGGGAGAAAGTGATCAGTGCAGAGACATGAACAGATCATTATGGTTTGGGAGAAAGTGATCAGTGCAGAGACATGAACATATTATGGTTTGGGAGAAAGTGAACAGTGCAGAGACATGAACAGATCATTATGGTTTGGGAGAAAGTGATCAGTGCAGAGACATGAACAGATCATTATGGTTTGGGAGAAAGTGAACAGTGTAGAGACATGATCATATTATGGTTTGGGAGAAAGTGAACAGTGCAGAGACATGATCATATTATGATTTGGGAGAAAGTGAACAGTGCAGAGGTTTGAACAGATCATTATGGTTTGGGATAAAGTGATCAGTGCAGAGACATGAACAGATCATTATGGTTTGGGAGAAAGTGATCAGTGCAGAGACATGAACAGATCATTATGGTTTTGCAGAGGATGGTCCAGCTAGACCTAACCTAGCATCTGGTCAACACTCAGCTGAAAGACATCTGCTACTGACACCGGTGCAACCAAAGGACGGAATCAGAAATGAAACCCACATTGAATATTTTAACCTCTTCACAACGGAGCCAAGGACAAAGGACTCAACCACTATCCATGAGAGCTGTTCTTTTATTCTCAGAGCTGCCATCTGTACCACTGTGTATTTTGTTTAATGCTTGATTGATCTTTCTTAAGTCACACAAATTAATGTTTTCTCAAAACATTGTTAATTAACATTTTAGTGTATGATGTTTAACCCTACTAGGACATCACAGTGGGCGATAAACACCTGGTGACTCAAAGTGCGGTTGAGGATTACCCCGGAACAGGACCCAGAAACCCCGTTCAACCCATAAGTTGGGTTATATTAGGGCCCCTGGCAACCGCTAGGATGGGGCTTCAAACTAACAAAAAAATTGCGTCCCACATAGGGATGGACATATATTTTTAGTGTGTCATGATAACTACTGTATACCATACGGCCGGTCTGCCACAGACGTTTACTAAGTGCGACCCATGTACTCACTTTCCTGCAGGAGCCACAGATTTGGTTAAGGGGTCGATTCCGTGAAGGATCATGATTTTCTTTGATTGGGCGTTCTTACTGATGACATCCCATTGGTCGACTCCAGCTACATCATGTGTGTCACTCATGTTTGCATTGGCCAGTCTGATGAATGTTGGGAACCAATCAGCGACGTGGATCAGAGCTTTGTTTGCGTATCTCTGCCGAAGGTAGGAAATTATGTCTGACAAAAAATATCAAGACATTGCGTCTGCTTAAAATGTACTAACATGTATATGATCAAAGTACCCAGACTTATGTCTGAAAAAGTACTGAATTATATATTAGTACCCAGACTTGTATCTGATAAAGGTATCTAAACATGTGTAATAAAAGTGCTCACACCTGTGTGTGATATGCATACTGACTTGTGTATAAGTACCCACACTTATATGTGAGACAAATTTTGACTTATTGATAAAAGTAAAAGAATAAATAAAAGTATGAAACCTACCTATGTATGATAAAAGTACCCAGACGTGCTGTGACAATAACAGTATGAAACCTTGCTGTGTATGACAAAAGTACCCAGACGTGCTGTGACAATAACAGTATCAAACCTTACTGTGTATGACAAAAGTACCCAGGCGTGCTGTGACAATAACAGTATGAAACCTTGCTGTGTATGACAAAAGTACCCAGACGTGCTGTGACAATAACAGTATGAAACCTTGCTGTGTATGACAAAAGTACCCAGACGTGCTGTGACAATAACAGTATGAAACCTTGCTGTGTATGACAAAAGTACCCAGACCTGCTGTGAGAATAGAAGTACCAAACCTTGCTGTGTATGACAAAAGTACCCAGACGCGCTGTGACAATAACAGTATCAAACCTTGCTGTGTATGACAAAAGTACCCAGACCTGCTGTGACAATAACAGTATCAAACCTTGCTGTGTATGACAAAAGTACCCAGACATGCTGTGACAATAACAGTATCAAACCTTGCTGTGTATGAAAAAAGTACCCAGACATGCTGTGACAATAACAGTATGAAACCTTGCTATGTATGATAAAAGTACCCAGACCTGCTGTGACAATAACAGTATGAAACCTTGCTGTGTATGACAAAAGTACCCAGACGTGCTGTGACAATAACAGTATGAAACCTTGCTGTGTATGACAAAAGTACCCAGACATGCTGTGACAATAACAGTATCAAACCTTGCTGTGTATGAAAAAAGTACCCAGACCTGCTGTGACAATAACAGTATCAAACCTTGCTGTGTATGACAAAAGTACCCAGACCTGCTATGACAATAACAGTATGAAACCTTGCTGTGTATGACAAAAGTACCCAGACGTGCTGTGACAATAACAGTATCAAACCTTGCTGTGTATGACAAAAGTACCCAGACCTGCTGTGACAATAACAGTATCAAACCTTGCTGTGTATGACAAAAGTACCCAGACATGCTGTGACAATAACAGTATCAAACCTTGCTGTGTATGAAAAAAGTACCCAGACATGCTGTGACAATAACAGTATGAAACCTTGCTGTGTATGATAAAAGTACCCAGACCTGCTGTGACAATAACAGTATGAAACCTTGCTGTGTATGACAAAAGTACCCAGACGTGCTGTGACAATAACAGTATGAAACCTTGCTGTGTATGACAAAAGTACCCAGACATGCTGTGACAATAACAGTATCAAACCTTGCTGTGTATGAAAAAAGTACCCAGACCTGCTGTGACAATAACAGTACCAAACCTTGCTGTGTATGACAAAAGTACCCAGACATGCTGTGACAATAACAGTATGAAACCTACCTGTGTATGATAAAAGTACCCAGACATGCTGTGACAATAACAGTATGAAACCTACCTGTGTATGATAAAAGTACCCAGACCTGCTGTGAGAATAGAAGTACCAAACCTTGCTGTGTATGACAAAAGTACCCAGACATGCTGTGACAATAACAGTATGTGTATGACAAAAGCACATGATTATATTGATCAGATTTAAACTGTGCATTGGAACACTTGACACAAGCAAATACAAAACATCAAGTACAGCTGTGTTAAGTCAAGAATTTACATCACAGAATTTAGGGCATTCCTATGTGCACTCTGTCCTCATCTTCAGCAGTCAGCACAGTTCCAATACTAATGGTTCTGGTTGTAATCAGGTTATATGTCCGTCTTGATTTTCATCTGAGTGTAGTGAGCTGAAATGCTTACTGCACTCGTTGCGATACTGTATCTAACTCTGTTGTAAGCATCTTCTAAAGCACGTGCATACTGGAAACTCTGAGCCTTATTAAATTATACAAACATGAGCACAGTATTAAAATATAATGTATGCAAGTGGATAAAACATCACATAATAAGACAAATGTAATTTAGACAGATCTTTAAAACAGCACAGAACAATAAGATTTCAAGGATGATAGTTGTTTGATTTCAGTAACTATAGTTGGAAGATTTTAAGGATAACAGCAGGAAGATTTCAAGGATAATAGGAAAATTTCAAGGATTACATTTAAAGATTTCAAGATTTCAAGGTTGATAGCTGGAAGATTTCAATGATTATAGTTGGAAGATTTCAAGGATAATAGCAGGATGATTTCAAAGATTACACAAGACAGATTTCAAGGATTATAGCTTGAAGATTTCAGTTTTGCAGATGAAAATTTCAGTGATTGCAGATGAAATAAAGAATGGCCCACCTGTTTATCCAATAGTGGGCTGGACACAAACCCTACACCCTTGACACCACCCTCAAACCATTCACCCTTGCGACCCCGGTACGGCCAGTTGGAGCCACCATTAGATGGGTCAGCCCCATTGTCCGTGGACAGGACTAGCACTGAAACAGTTATTATTATCTGTGATTTGAGACTTCATAAAACACATAGTGTTCATAATGATTATCTTTTCTATCATCAATGCTGTCATCTATCATCATAAGAAAGATAATAAAGGATCTTTTCAAGAAGCACAATGCTAAAGCTGGATTCTATCTTCTTCTTCTTTATTCACCAGCTCCATTGGAAAGTCCTGGTTGTTTGTACATTTTAACTTTGGCTTTGTGCCAGGGCTTGAGTTTTGCACGTACACCTGTTTTACTGGCTTATTTATATGCATTTGGTTGTGCCTTGCCGCTCGGGCAGATGTACTCCAACTTTGAAGGAAGCCCCCAATTAGTGGGCTCCTAAAACATGCTTGTTAAGGCAGTGGGTCTGTGCTTGTTTTCCGTGCAATGGGGCCATGGGACCCACACAGGGAGGATTGTGTCAAATGGTTTGGTCATATAAAAACACAGCCTTCAAAGTAGTGGCAATCTTTAGCAATGAAGAAGTTTTTTGGGTGCTTTAATAATATCCTACCCCAGATGACATCACAGGACAGTCCGGGGGATGCGGCGGGGGTAAGACAGGGTTTCTCGGCTTTCTAATGCTTTTAACGTCCCCAAAACATCTAGAACTGGCTCTAACCCCAACCCACCTACGTCCCACAAGAGAGTGCAGCCTAGTGCCCATGACTGCATGCAGCCTATCTACCGCCCCTAAAATATTAGACTGTCCCGTGATCTGTGGATTTTTCCTGTTTGGGGTAGGATATTAATAAAGCATGTTTTTATTTCTTTGAGACGAATGTGGATGGATAGAAAAATAAACAAGATGATCCTCCTTGAGACAGGTACAATCTATAAACTAGTTGGACAAATTAGAATTAGACATTTGTGGACGTGCTGAGAGAAGGAATGGACTCTAGAAATTTGTTGCAACTGGCAAGATTCATGGGAAAAAGAGCAAGGGGAAGACAAAGAGATAAATACCTGGAAGGCTTGACCATCTGGGTGGGATGAGACAACAACAGTGACCTGATCCATGATTCTGGTGGTTACCTGTTTGAGTATTATTCGGTGGTCCCCCTTCACAGAGCGTTTGGCATGTTATGTTATGGTTTGCAGTTAAGCTGCGATAGCTGCGCTTTTCTTCCCAACTCATCTGATTTCAGCAAATCCTTTTTTAGTTGCCTCTTGTGACATGTTTTCTAAAGCGGCAGTGGATCTGTTCTAGCCTCCCCTCCCCCCTAAAAAATGAGGCCCTGAAAGCCAAAAGGGATTATCCCCATCAGAGTGATCAGGACTTCCAGGTTGACCCAGCCTGAGAAAGTTACCAGGAAAGATATGGCAAGTGCTGATATATAGTACTGGACCATATCACTTCCTGAGTATTAAATGATCTATTTCCCCGTGTGGATTCCAGGGACTAACTGTGAGTTTCAGGGACCCCCTGTGGGTTCTAGGGCCTCACTGTGGGGACAAAAAGAATAGACCCACTAACTCCCTAACAGGTGTGTATTAAAAGTAAACTAATTTGGGTTGTTTCCTTCGTAGACAGAGTGCATCAGCCTGAGAGTTACAGAACCAACAGTCTGCATATAAATAATGTACATACAAAATTCAAGTTCTGGTAAAAGGCAAGTCACGTCCACAAATGTCTAATTCTAACAACAATGAAGAAGAAGAAATGTAATCTTTACAATTTGAGGTGGACTTCTAAATTGACTCAGCCTAAGATAGGTACCAAGAAATACTTCACCTGAGTATCGATTGATCTATCAGATATGAAACTAACAACATAAACCCAATAAGTTTCAAGTACAACAGGTATAATGATGAAAGTAATAATACCATGAGGATGATGATGATAAAAGTAATAATACCATGATGATGAAAGTAATAATGACCATGATGATGAAAGTAATAATGACCATGATGATGAAAGTAATAATACCATGATGATGATGATGAAAGTAATAATACCATGATGATGAAAGTAATAATACCATGATGATGAAAGTAATAATACCATGATGATGAAAGTAATAATAACATGATGATGAAAGTAATAATGACCATGATGATGATGAAAGTAATAATAACATGATGATGATGATGATGAAAGTAATAATACCATGATGATGAAAGTAATAATACCATGATGATGAAAGTAATAATAACATGATGATGAAAGTAATAATGACCATGATGATGATGAAAGTAATAATAACATGATGATGAAAGTAATAATACCATGATGATGATGAAAGTAATAATACCATGATGATGAAAGTAGTAATACCATGATGATGAAAGTAATAATACCATGATGATGATGAAAGTAATAATACCATGATGATGATGAAAGTAATAATACCATGATAATGATGAAAGTAATAATACCATGATGATGAAAGTAATAATACCATGATGATGAAAGTAATAATACCATGATGATGATGAAAGTAATAATACCATGATGATGAAAGTAATAATACCATGATGATGAAAGTAATAATACCATGATGATGATGAAAGTAATAATACCATGATGATGAAAGTAATAATACCATGATGATGATGAAAGTAATAATACCATGATGATGATGAAAGTAATAATAACATGATGATGAAAGTAATAATGACCATGATGATGATGAAAGTAATAATACCATGATGATGAAAGTAATAATACCATGATGATGAAAGTAATAATACCATGATGATGATGAAAGTAATAATACCATGATGATGATGAAAGTAATAATACCATGATGATGAAAGTAATAATACCATGATGATGAAAGTAATAATGACCATGATGATGAAAGTAATAATACCATGATGATGAAAGTAATAATACCATGATGATGAAAGTAATAATACCATGATGATGAAAGTAATAATACCATGATGATGAAAGTAATAATGACCATGATGATGATGAAAGTAATAATGACCATGATGATGATGAAAGTAATAATACCATGATGATGAAAGTAATAATACCATGATGATGAAAGTAATAATAACCATGATGATGAAAAGTAATAATACCATGATGATGAAAGTAATAATGACCATGATGATGAAAGTAATAATGACCATGATGATGAAAGTAATAATGACCATGATGATGATGAAAGTAATAATGACCATGATGATGATGAAAGTAATAATACCATGATGATGAAAGTAATAATGACCATGATGATGATGAAAGTAATAATGACCATGATGATGAAAGTAATAATACCATGATGATGAAAGTAATAATACCATGATGATGAAAGTAATAATACCATGATGATGAAAGTAATAATGACCATGATGATAAAAGTAATAATACCATGATGATGAAAGTAATAATGACCATGATGATGAAAGTAATAATACCATGATGATGAAAGTAATAATGACCATGATGATGAAAGTAATAATGACCATGATGATGAAAGTAATAATGACCATGATGATGAAAGTAATAATGATGATGATGAAAGTAATAATACCATGATGATGAAAGTAATAATGACCATGATGATGAAAGTAATAATACCATGATGATGAAAGTAATAATGACCATGATGATGAAAGTAATAATGACCATGATGATGAAAGTAATAATGACCATGATGATGATGAAAGTAATAATGACCATGATGATGAAAGTAATAATGACCATGATGATGAAAGTAATAATGACCATGAATGATGAAAGTAATAATACCATGATGATGAAAGTAATAATGACCATGATGATGAAAGTAATAATACCATGATGATGAAAGTAATAATGACCATGATGATGAAAGTAATAATGACCATATGATGAATACCATGATGATGAAAGTATGACCATGATGATAAAGTAATAACATGATTATGAAAGTAATAACACCATGATGATGAAAGTAATAATAACATGATGATGAAAGTAATAATGACCATAATGATGATGAAAGTAAAAATGTCCATGATGACGACAGTAATAATGACCATAATGATGATGACAGTAATAATGACCATAATGATGATGAAAGTAATAATGACCATAATGATGATGAAAGTAATAATGACCATGATGATGACAGTAATAATGACCATGATGATGACAGTAATAATGATGATGATGATGAAAGTAATAATACCATGATGATGAAAGTAATAATGACATGATGATGAAAGTAATAAGGTAATAATTATTACTTTCATCATCATTATTACTTTCATCATCATGGTATTATTACTTTCATCATCATTATTACTTTCATCATCATGGTATTATTACTTTCATCATCATGGTATTATTACTTTCATCATCATGGTCATTATTACTTTCATCATCATGGTATTATTACTTTTATCATCATGTCATTATTACTTTCATCATCATGGTATTATTACTTTCATCATCATTATGATGATGATGAAAGTAATAATGACCATGATGATGACAGTAATAATGACTATGATGATGACAGTAATAATGATTAGATGATGATGATGACAGTAATAATGACCATTATGATATGAAAGTTTCAAGTACAGCATGTACATGACTCTATGGTACATACCTGTGTTGTTCCAAACACCTTTGTGTTTGAGGGCCTGCACCAGTTTACCTATACCTTGGTCTAGGGCAGAGGTCATGGCTGCAAATGTCCTGCGGTTAGGGTCAGGGATGTGCAGGTACTCCTGCTTGTAATTGTGTGGCACCTGCAGAAATGACATGCATACCATCAAGGATGTTTGGACATCACTCAAAAAAAAAAACAACATCATCAGCTCACACAATGCACTTCAACAATAAAACCAGTATCATCAGTTTGTTTCGGTCAATGGGCTAACTGCAGTTACTTTGTCATCCTGTTCCACAATGTCTGTACTAATAAAACTTACAAGGATGTCTTGCTAAACATCACAGGATAAGATGTCTTGGTGTGAGATTGTAGAGAGCCAGGGCTCCAGTGAGGGATACAAGACAAAAGACATGTATCATCTCAGGGATGGTTTTTCTCCCACTTTACTAGGCTGCCAAGTAGACTTGCTCTATAATAGGTAACCTGAAAGTGTCATTTTCTAGGGAAGTAAAGGCAGCCGAAACAGTGCTTGAGTTATATCGGTTATATAATTAAATATTTAAAAGGTGATAACAATCAGAGGTTTATGGTGCTAGACTTGTATACAGTAAAATATTTTTAAAAAAAAGCCATTTGGTCTACAATTATGGGGTCAGTGCTGTATACTGTACACATAACTGGGAAATCAGACATATACTCCCTACAGCCCCCATCTCACTGCCACTCATGCTCCCACGAACACACACCACACCTTCCCCATAGACCCAACAACTCCGCAAGACATCAAATAACTGACCTGCAGCGGCCCATGTACAGCCTGGTATGCCAGGTACAGAAAGAATGGTTTATCTACATTGTGTGCCTGGATAAGGTCGATGGCCTTCTGTGTGTACAGGTGGGTTGAGTATGTGCCACTTTCATTGAACACATTAGCAAAGGTGTCTTTGGTGTCATCGTGAAGGTCAACACCACAGCCTCCCTTTAAGCAGCGACTGCAAGATTGTAGTTGAAAGTTGGTTAATGCAATTGTATCACTGAGTGATGGTATCCGGCATATATCAAGCAGTAATGATAATAGATGACTAAAATTATAATTACTACAGTGATGATAACGTGTAATAACAAAACATGACAAGGCAGATGTGGTCAAGGCCCTTTGGGAACAAGCAACAGAATCAGTAGAGAAACAAGATTATTATGGCCTGGAGAGAATGAGACACCTGGGTGTAACCAGAGGATGTGGCTGGCTCACTACACTCAGAGTAAAGGCAAGACGAACATATAACCAGATTTTGACCGGTACCATCAGTATTGGAACTCTGCGCTTGCTGCTGAAGATGAGAACGGAGCACACATAATTAGTCACCTTTTATGGCAAGCTTGATAGGGGGACCATATGTCTATTCTTGTTCTTCCCACAATAGTTCCCTGGAACCCACACAAGGAGTTGGTAATGCAACCATGATTCTTCTTCTTCTTCTTCTTCACTTCCTCTTTTACCGCTGTGGGTGTCGAGGGAGATATAAGGTTCTGTTTCTAGCTCTTCTGGCTGCCTCGACCATAGGCACATCGTGCTGTTGTAGAGTTTCTCTGATGTTATCCTTCCATCTTGTTCTTGGTCTACCCCTTGCTCTACGTCCTTCTTCTCTTTCCATGTATGCTTTGTATGGTATGGTGTCACAAGGCATTCTCTCTAAGTGGGCAAACCATTTCACTCGCTGTCTTTGTATGTAATCCAGAATTGGTTCTGTGCCTACTTGTTCTCTTATGATCTCATTCCTGATCTTATCTCTTATGGTCACTCCTACAGCCCTTCTCAGACATCTCATTTCCGTGGTTACTAATTTTCTTTTATGGTTTGTTGTGAGTGACCATGTCTGGCACTGGTAGCACAGAGTTGGAATAAATATGCTTTGAATAAGATGTCTCTTTGTGCTGATTGGGATTGTCTTATGCTGTAAGAGGGGAGCTAGCTGTCCCAATACTTGATTTGTTTTACTGTATTTAATGTTAATTTCTTTATCCAATTTCCCATCTTCGGTAAATGTAGTTCCCAGATATTTAAACTCAGATGCCTGTTTAATGTCTTTGTATTCTATTGCTATGTTTAGATCTGTCTTCTTTTTTCCTATTGACATTACTTCTGTCTTTTCAGTGTTGATTCTCATATTATTTGTTTTACATTCTTCATTCATGGATGTTAGATGTTGTTGCAATTTCATGGCTGTATCTGCTATCAAGGCCTGGTCATCTGCAAAGAGTAATTTGTTGATCTTACTAAGATCTTCATTCATGGGCTTGGCATTCTTGCATATACTGTCGATGTAGGTGATAAACAGCAGTGGTGATAAGACACACCCCTGTCTTACTCCAGATGTCACTGTGAAAGGATGAGATGTTCCCTGATTTATTCTAACTACACTTCTACAATCCCTGTATAAACTTTTGCACACTTCGATGAGGTGTTCGCTTACTCCATATCTTGCTATTATTTTCCATAGTAATTGTCTGCAACCATGATTAAGATGATGAAAAGAGTAATTACAATGATGATGATGATGATGATGAAAAGAGTAATTACTATGATGATGGTGATGATAAAAGGAGTAATTACTATGATGATGAAAGGAGTAATTACTATGATGATGAAAGGAGTAATTACTATGATGATGAAAGGAGTAATTACTATGATGATGCTGATGAAAGGAGTAATTACTATGATGATGATAAAAGGAGTAATTACTATGATGATGATGAAAGGAGTAATTACTATGATGATGATGATGATAAAAGGAGTAATTACTATGATGATGCTGATGAAAGGAGTAATTACTATGATGATGATAAAAGGAGTAATTACTATGATGATGAAAGGAGTAATTACTATGATGATGAAAGGAGTAATTACTATGATGATGAAAGGAGTAATTACTATGATGATGAAAGGAGTAATTACTATTATGATGCATGTTGAAAGAAGTAATTACTATACTGATGATGATAAAAGGAGTAATTACTATGATGATGCTGATGAAAGGAGTAATTACTATGATGATGATAAAAGAAGTAATTACTATGATGATGAAAGGAGTAATTACTATGATGATGATGATAAAAGGAATAATTACTATGATGATGATGATAAAAGGAATAATTACTATGATGATGAAAGGAGTAATTACTATGATGATGATGATAAAAGGAGTAATTACTATGATGATGATGATGATGAAAGGAGTAATTACTATGATGATGATGATGAAAGGAGTAATTACTATGATGATGCTGATGAAAGGAGTAATTACTATGATGATGATGATACAAGGAGTAATTACTATGATGATAAAAGGAGTAATTACTATGGTGATAAAAGGAGTAATTACTATGATGATGATGATGATAAAAGGAGTAATTACTATGATGATGATGATGAAAGAAGTAATTACTATGATGATGAAAGGAGTAATTACTATGATGATGTTGATGAAAGGAGTAATTACTATGATGATGATAAAAGGAGTAATTACTATGATGATGAAAGGAGTAATTACAATGATGATGATGAAAAGAGTAATTACTATGATGATGGTGATGATAAAAGGAGTAATTACTATGATGATGACAGGAGTAATTACTATGATGATGATGAAAGGAGTAATTACTATGATGATGCTGATGAAAGGAGTAATTACTATGATGATGATGATGATAAAAGGAGTAATTACTATGATGATAAAAGGAGTAATTACTATGATGATGATGATGATAAAAGGAGTAATTACTATGATGATGATGATGATGAAAATAGTAATGACCATGATAATGATGATGAATGTCATAATGACTATGATAATAATGATGAAAATAATAATGACAATGATGATGAAAATAATAATGATAATGATGAAGAAAGTAGTAATGACCATGATGATGGTGATGAAAGTTATAGTGACCATGATAATGATGACGTTAATAAATATAATTGTGATGATGACGATAAGAGAAAAGTACACCATACTTGTGACGAAAATAGTCGCCAGCGCCGGTATAGAAGCCATAAAAGCGGTCGAAGCCACGCCTGGTGGGCAGAAACTTCCTCTTGTAGAAGCCAAGGTGCCATTTACCCACAGCATAGGTGGCGTACCCGGCCTGACTGAGTTTGTCTGCCAGTGTGGGCGAGCCCAGGGGAAGTGCCATGGCTTGAGTGGGACCTATAACTCCATGCTGTAGACCTGGGAAAAGGAGGGGGGGGGGTTTGATGAATTGTCACGAAAGCACTTCTATAATTACAGGTTAGAGTGCATTCCAAAACTCATGCTCTCAGAATTGTCCAAATATCTTAAAAACTTCTCTATGGTTAACGTAAATTTTTTTTTTTCAACAAGGCTATGATTTCCTATGTCTTTCTTTTATAATTTACAGCTCCAGCAACAGTGCAGTTGATGATATCCCTCCTGTCATCGTTTCAGCCCATCTAGCATCATCTCTCTTGGTCTGCCTCTACCCCTTTTTCCACTGATCTTCCCAGTTGTCACAATGTTTTCCAGCGCCTCTCTTCTCATTACGTGGCCAAAGAACAGTGTTTGTCTCCTTGTTATTGTTGTACATAGAGATCTACCTTCATTAGCTTCATCGACAATGTAGCAGGTCACTTGCTGGATTTGGCCCGTGTGCCTCCACTGGAAAAGCCCTGATATATGCAAATACCTTTTGATTTCTTATAACTGCAATTATCATTAGTTTTTTTATATCTGCAAATATCAATAGTTTTTTTAATATCTGTAAATATCATTAGTTTTTTTATATCTGTAAATATTAACAGTTTTTTTTATATCTGCAAATATCATTAGTTTTTTAAATCTGCAAATATAATTACTCATCTAATACTATCTACAAACATCATTTGTCATTTGAAATATCTTGCAAAAACTATTGGTCATTTTAAAATACATACAAAACCTATTGGTCATTTTATAATAGCTGCAACAACTATTGGTCATTTTATAATATCTGCAAAAACTATTGGTCATTTTATAATATCTGCAAAAACTATTGGTCATTTTAAAATATATACAAAACCCATTGGTCATTTTATATCTGCAAAAACTATTGGTCATTTTAAAATATATACAAAACCCATTGGTCATTTTATAATATCTGCAAAAACTATTGGTCATTTTAAAATATATACAAAAACTATTGGTCATTTTATAATATCTGCAAAAACTATTGGTCATTTTAAAATATATACAAAACCCATTGGTCTTTTTATAATATCTGCAAAAACTATTGGTCATTTTAAAATATATACAAAACCCATTGGTCATTTTATAATATCTGCAAAAACTATTGGTCATTTTAAAATATATACAAAACCTATTGGTCATTTTATAATATATACAAAACCTATTGGTCATTTTAAAATATATACAAAACCTATTGGTCATTTTATAATATTTGCAAAAACTATTGGTCATTTTAAAATATATACAAAACCCATTGGTCTTTTTATAATATCTGCAAAAACTATTGGTCATTTTAAAATATATACAAAACCCATTGGTCATTTTATAATATCTGCAAAAACTATTGGTCATTTTAAAATATATACAAAACCTATTGGTTATTTAATATGACACCATACCAAATATTGAGGATGCATATAAAAAGATGAAAAAGAAAATGTCCTGTGTATATGTTAACATCAGAAATGGCCAAAAGAGTTTATTTTACACGTGATAATCTGATTAGCCTGAGTGAATCCTTTATGTAGATCTTTTTTTAGCTGTTTGAATCTATTTTACATGTGTGAATTGTTTTTGCCCCTGCAGATATATTTTCTTTGTTTTTTTTCCCAGTGTAAATCTGTTTGAACTGTGGAAATCTATTTTACAAATCTGAATTGTTTTGGCCTGTGCGAATAGATTTTGTTTATGTGGGTATATTTGTTCCATGTAAATCTATTTGAACAGTGTGAATCTATTTTACCTATGTGAATTTTTTGCCTGTATGAATCTGTTTACCTATGTGAATCTGTTTTACATGTGTGAAGCTGTTTTACCTATATGTACCTATTTTACCTGTGAATATATTTTACCTGTGTGAATCTGTTTTACCTGTGTGAATCTGATATCTGCCTGACATGAAGACACTCCGTGTGGGTGTACAGATGGGCTGCACGTAGTAGTTCTCCAGACGAACACCTTCCTTGGACAGTCTGTCAATCTCAGGTGTCCTGGACACAAACACAGTGACAGGGGACATTGAGTGATCAGTTTTACAGTACAGTCACAAATACAATAGTATGGGTTTCAGAGCCCCATCTGGAGAAGAGGTGGGGACCAAACCTACCACTTTGAAGAACACAGCTACTGTTCCCTTGCAAGCACGTCATCAAATTCTACTAATTGGGGCGTTTCTTCTTATTAAGAGTGCATCTGCCAGGTGTGTTAAACGGATGTGCACACAGAGCTCAAGTTCTGAAGTCTAGAAGTGGACGGACAACCAGAACTTTCTGCCATAGTTTACAGCAGGTGAAACTGGCTAAAAACTCCAGCAGAAAGTTCTGGTTGTTCATCCACTTCTAGACTTTAGTCTGTTTAGAGAATGTGAAATCTGGCTTATTATTTGTATGCAGACTGTTGGTTCCTCGCCTCTCAGGTAGATGCACTTCAAGTTTGACAGAGACACCCCTAATCAGTTTTACAACATGCTTGTGAGGTGGCAGTGGGTCTACTCTTCCCTTTTTCACACAAAGGGGGCCCCTGGAACCCACACAGGGAACCATGAGCTGTAATTCTCATGGCTCCCTGTAGTATAATATAACACTGTCACCTATAGGGACCAAAAAGTGCCAACAACACCATATTGCTCGAACAACGGAGGCAGATCGTTGACTGACTAAAATGTACTCTTGTGTGGTGACCAAAATATGAGCCCTGTGTGGGAGGTATCCAAGTACTTCAGCACTAAAGGTGGGTCATCTGTGTCAGAGCCATCAGATATCACAATTCCTGATCGTCTTGTCATCAGTGGTCATCTCTGGAATGTGGAGAGACTTGTACATCTGCACCCTTTCAAGGCACATCCCTGGATAAAATAGGATATACAAGGAAATGCCAAACTTGGATATAAGGTAAATATATATCCTAGGGTAGAAGAGAAAAGACTAAACAAGACTAATGTACTTCTACATCCTAGTGTAAAAGAGGAAAGACTGTAAGGTACCTCTAAATCTCTGGGTAGAAGAGGAAAGACTAAACAAGGCTGTAAGGTACCTTTACATCCTAGGGTAGAAGAGGAAAGAATAAACAAGACTGTAAGGTACCTCTACATCTCAGGGTAGAAGGGGAAAGACTAAACAAGACTGTAAGGTACCTCTACATTCCAGGGTAGAAGAGGAGAGACTATGGTACCTCTACATCTCAGAGTTGAAGGGGAAAGACTAAACAAGACTGTAAGGTACCTCTACATTCCAGGGTAGAAAAGAAGAGACTATGGTACCTCTACATCTCAGAGTTGAAGGGGAAAGACTAAACAAGACTGTAAGGTACCTCTACATTCCAGGGTAGAAGAGAAGAGACTAAGGTACCTCTACATCTCAGAGTTGAAGGGGAAAGACTAAACAAGACTGTAAGGTACCTCTACATTCCAGGGTAGAAGAGAAGAGACTATGGTACCTCTACATCTCAGAGTTGAAGGGGAAAGACTAAACAAGACTGTAAGGTACCTCTACATCTCAGAGTTGAAGGGGAAAGACTAAACAAGACTGTAAGGTACCTCTACATCTCAGAGTTGAAGGGGAAAGACTAAACAAGGCTGTAAAGTACCTCTACATCTCAGAGTTGAAGGGGAAAGAGACTATGGTACCTCTACATCTCAAGGCAGAAGAGAGATGATTAAATAAGACGTTAGACAGCCCAGGGTCTAAAGAGAAATGACAATGAATACACATAATCAAATCAATGATAATTTACTTAGGCTAATGAGTAGTTCAGATACAGATAAACATGATATCATTTGAACAGAACAGAATGAGTAGTACAGATACAGATAAACATGATATCATTTGAACAGAACAGAATGAGTAGTTCAGATACAGATAAACATGATATCATTTGAACAGAACAGAATGAGTAGTGCAGATAAGGGCGAAAGAGATATGCCCACATGACCAACTGCCTGATCACGGAAACAATACTTACCTAATGTGGGATCTGTGGTACCCTACATCGTTGTAGCCTAAATCATCGACCATGATAAACACGATGTTTGGCTTGAGGTTTCTAGAGCTCCTGGCCAGCGGAAGCAGAAGCCAGCAGGCAAGCGACCACAAGAGCCGCGGCATGGCCGGATACACCTGGGGACGGACAAGACATCGAGTAAGTAAAGTGGCAAATATGTTGTTCACACTTACATCTGACAGCTGTGTTGTTGAAACACGAATAATGGCAATGATATGATAAATACAGAACGACAAAGATCCATGTGAGTGAACCGCAGACCAGGCTGTGTGATGTACTTGACCACTCAGGATAGTCCGGCGCCGGAAGTAGTATCGGCTGACCTTGAAGTGAGTACTGTGTGCGTGAAATGTTTCTTTTTATTCGTGTTCACTGTTAAATAAAACTAAAAAGTTTTGGGTGTTTTTCCCCAGAACCTAAATGTTGCATGCACATCCGTTGCACAAACCTGGCTTATTTATATTCAGACTCTTGGTTATTTTTCCTTGGGCATATAGTACTCCTACTTACAAGGATGCCCCCACTTAGTAGGTAGACTCCTACGACCTTGAGGTGGGTACTGACTACGTGTGTGTGTAGTATGTGATGTTTACCGGATAACCTTGAGGTGAGTACTGACTACGTGTGTGTATAGTATGTGATGTTTACCGACTGACCTTGAGGTGGGTACTGACTCTGTGTGTGTATAGTATGTGATGTTTACCGACTGACCTTGAGGTGAGTACTGATTACGTGTGTGTGTGTAATATGTAGTGTTTACATGACTAAGACGGCATCAGTAGAATAGGGGTTGTTAACTCGGAATGTAATCCTGAGATACCCTGGTCTGCTTCTAATAGTGAGCCATTTAGGAGATGGCTTTGCGTTGATGCTGAAAAAAAAAAATGCATAAAGCACTCTCAAACTGTTGAACCTGTACATAGTCAAATTACAAATAAGCAAAAGATGTACAGCTATATGTGCCCGTCTCTAGCGTAGTTGGCTAAACCGGATTGCGCGGTGAGCGGGTGACGAACTCCGTACGGTCAGGGTTCACTCCCGGGGGTGGACAGAAAAGCCACATTTCTCCCAGATTTACGGTATTTACAATGGAATCAATGGCCGAAAGGTTGCGATATCCATAATACCGAGCCCAAGGGTTAACAACTCATGGCTTCTGGATACTAAAACAAACAAGTAGAAGAGGACAGCCACACAAGGCTGTAAGATACTTGTATAGAAAGACAAGACAACTAAACTGTGAAATTAAAGGTTAAAGTTGAGAGGATCGACTATTTTGCACCGGGTTTTATCCAATGTGGCTCGGTCTCTCTCCACAGAACGGCTAGCCGATTACCGAGAGCGCAGAGCACGAATTCCATAGCTCCGGCGGCGATGCGACCCTCTAATACAGTTCCTCATGTAGTGGTGACTCCCAGCCAAATAATTATTTTCGTCGCTACTTCATATCTTCAGTAAATATTTGTTTTGCGGTTGCCTTTGTCGACCCCTAATAACGGGTCGTTCAACCAATAGGTTGAGAACCACTGTATCAGCCAATTTTAAGCTGAGTTTGCCAGTTTGGATATTTTTAGGTATGTTCATTGAATCTATTAGTATCAGTGCGCAAGTTGCTTTCTATTTCTTCTTCTTTCTGCCTCAGACTTCTCTTGTTACCGCAATTTTCATTTGATCTTTTGTCCAGATAATATGAACTCATTATGTCGGTTGTCTCCAGCGCTCTTTGTAAACTGCTTTCTTTCAGGTTGCCGTTATTGCTCTCTCTCTCTTTCTCTCCGGTGCTTTCTGGCGTCAACAACTTGCGACCTGCATGTTTTAAAGTAATAATTACATCTTTTCTTCATTTTCTTCGCGTTCACCGACTATAAACTCTGGCGGAAAGTTCTGGATGTTCGTCCACTTCTCGACTGCAGCCCTGTTCCAACCTGAGTGTTACGTGTGAATCAATTTGGCATATCTGACTAATTTTTATGCAGATTGTTGGTTCGTTGCCTCAGGCAGCTGCACTCCCGACTTCGAAGGAAGCTCCCAGTTGTCGACTCTTACGACATGATTTTGGGTATGAAGTGGGTATGTTCTTATTTTCCCGATAAAAGGGCCCAGGAACACATCTTCTGTGAATACTCATGACATGTTTTACTCAGATCTCAAACACGGCAGATTTCTTTCATGTTATTTGTGATAATTTAGGTCAATCCAGTAGCTTGTTTTCTTCTTCTGAAGATCGTTGTTACCATTATCGTGATCATGTACCGTGTTGATAATGGTATGCGTCATTGTTTGTTTGTTGGCATGGGCACACCAGTGAGAGCGGGCCTGTCTGTTATCTCCTCTCGTCCCTGTCGTTTAGCTCATCTATCCCAGGGTTGTCCTCTTTGTCTTCTCCATGTTTGTGTCTCATTCTTCTGCAGCGGTCAACGTTTGCTGGGCATCTGTTGCAGCATGGGTCACAGACTGGACTGCACCTCCTCTTAGGGGCGAGCAGCCCAGGTGGCGACTCCCGCTTGTCGTTTTCCTGTTGTGTTGCTGAATCTGGCAAATGTTGAAACATACATCCTCGCACGTGGGTCAGAGTTTCTACTGTCAGCAAGTGGGTGAATATTTCTATGCGAGACCTCAATCCAGAGGTGAGTGGATTTGTGTGTTCTTGTTTGTAATTGTATCCAGTCCGTTTGTGTTTTATGCTGAAGAAGGATTTCTAGCCGCAGCGTTCATTTGTCGTTTGTGATTCTCATACTCTAAAGCTGGCCAGTTCTTCTAGCTCTGTGTTGGTTTCGTATCTTTTCATGCTGTATTCAAACATGGGTTCACCGCCCATGATCCACCACCCATGATCCACAGCCAACATTGTTGGCCACTACTAGTGTTTCCTCAAAGGCCACCCTACCCTGGAGAAGACGATCCACGCCCATGATCCACCGCCCACATTGTTGATTACTACTAGTGTTTCCTCAAAAGCCACCCTACCCCAGAGAAGACGATCCACGCCCATTTTTTCTTCCAGTAAACAGAGTTAGTAGAGGGATTATTGTGTCCGATTCACAGTCGAAACTGCGGAAGGTTCAAATTGGTCCAATGTGGCATGAGGGGATACCAAGCATCAACACGCCAGTATTGCAGGAACCAAGCATCAACACGCCAGTATTGCAGGAACCAAGCATCAACACGCCAGTATTGCAGGAATCACATGGTTATGCTATCCGTGATATGCAGGATTACGAGGGAATGAAAGAGCAGATTTTGTGAACGAGGTGTTAGGAGTAGATCCTGTAAGGAGGGACGTTTGCAGCAACAGACGGAGCACCTATGGGTATTCCCGGTGTGCTATGATGTCCATTCTTTAATCAGTAAATCAGTAAAATCTACTTCCAGTTGTTCTAATCAAGTTACGGGTTTCATCTGTTTCTTGATGATCCGTGTTCGTTGTCTTGTCATTTGCCGGTAATGTTAATTTCCCGATGAAAAAAACTTGATATACATATCACCAGAAACGATAATCTCTGCATGTTTTATGGTAAATCCGATCTAAAAGGTAGCACAGAGAAGGTGTCAGACTGTAAACAAACCCGGCCCTGTCGAGACGGTGGTGGTGTCGGCTTCCACCCTCTTGGAACAGTCACATAAACCAGATGTACCTGCTCGGTGTCGGATTCCCGGCTAACCAGCCACTTCCGCCTGGCAAGTATCCCACCAGAGATTTGATTTCCTGACACGGGGGGTATCATGGGGCCGGCTGTCGGTGGGACTGAGACACTTTCGTGTCTGATCTTTATGGTTCTGTTGAAACTCTCGGTTGAATTATATCGGTGGCGTTTGTAGGGACTTCGGGAGAGGTGTCGACATAATGTAGATAAGGTGGAGGATTACTGGTTGTTGCAATCTTCGACATGGTCAATATCGTGCGGCGTTATCTTGTCTGTCAGTCTTCTGTCTTATGCAATGCTCATAATTTATGCTTCGACCTTCTGTCTGTAGTCAGGGGTAACTATGGGGAAGTGGCGCGACAAAGGTTACCTCATTCCAGTCATTTAAAAAGAAAAAAAAAAAAACCACCTGATGACGACAGTGAAAGTCTACAAGTCTTCATGAGATATTTGAGAACCTAAGGTCCACTGTGAGATGAGTGAGAAGAAGCAGAAAAGAAGGAGGAGGATATGGCAAAAGAAGAAAAGGAATTTAAATATATTGTACCACGTCCTTGTGATGCAGATACAGCGGTAACAGAGCCACAGGTCCACCACGCAAAGTATGGACCGCACACATTTCACAGACGCTCAAAAGTAGTAGAAACGAAAAGAAGGACCCGTTACAAAGATCTCTTCTTACCCTGACGCCGTGAGGCATTCCTGAAGTAGAGAAAAGAAAAAGAGGAAGACGATGTCCCACCCTTCTCTCTCACTTAACTAAGCCACAACACTCACATTACTGCCTGCTCCCAACGCACGCGTCTGACCCGACTATCCTCAATGCTACGTAAAACAGTTTCCCCCATCAGGACCTCACAGACGCATTAAGTGCACACAACAAACACAAACAAACCTGGAATCTTTGCCCACAGTTGGAATTTATTGCCCGTTCTTTGAACTGTTTATGAATCATTGTGGCGCTATAGCTTACCATTAAAAGCGTTTGACTCGGCTTAGGAATTGGTGCGGTTTTTTCTTTATGTGCTCTGTCGGGAAGTTTATTCGTTTATTTTTAACGCAGTAACAGAAATGTTCTTTGTTGGGGGTGGGTTTTTTGAGGCCATCAGTACACCCTGAGAAATAATTCGGAGCCACTGATGAGCACTCCAATACAGTTTTCTCCACAAGTATCCATTTCTGGGCTACATCCAGCTTTATAAACACCAGACAGTTTCCACAATTAGTTAGTTTTTTTCCGCTTGAGCCTAGGGCAGTCATACTTCTACTTAGGTTAGGGCGTCCTGATAACATTTTAATTAAAAAAAAAAAAAGGCGCTGAGGCCAAAACAAGTTTAGGAAACAACTTGTCTACATGTTAAAACCGTTTCTTGAAAACAATAAACAAACTATATTAAAAAAAAAAAAAAAAAAATTCGCTCACAAAAATAGACATCTGATTGATCTCTAACAAAATCCAC